ACAAGGAGTGGTCTTTTGACCCCAAAGCATGCCCCCTGACCCCACCCTCTGCAGGTCACGCTGATTGATCCTGAGCATCTGGGCTTCGTCCCTTAAATTCAGGTACTCTCCCCATAACAGGGACTGGAGGCCCAGTGGTGTTTCTGTGTTCTCTTTGCCCATAGCACCATGATACTCTAGACGGGGAGAAAAGACCCAAATCAACAAGGGCATCTTCTTCAGCCCACACTACAGATTTCTGTACCTAACTGATAAAGATTCTACCTTCACTCACCTGGGTTGAGGCCCCAAAGTATTTGTGTGTAGAATTCCCTACCTCTGGTGATCATCAGCCGGGGATGGGGACCACTGGAATAGATGATTCTCAAGGACCTGCCTGCACACAGCTTTCTGAGTTACTATACCTGAGTTCCTGAGCCTGTTTTGAAGGACTGACCATTTTCAAGAAGACATTTCTCTATTAAATGTTCCCCATCCTTATCAGTCTCTGGAGAATCGCTGCTCAGGCTGATGGTTTTTCTGAAACTCCCTTCAGTTCAGTTCAGTTCAGTCATTCAGTCATGTCCGACTCTTTGCAACCCCACGAATCGCAGCACGCCAGGCCTCCCTGTCCATCACCAACTCCTGGAGTTTACTCAAACTTATGTCCATCGAGTCGGTGATGCCATCCAGCCATCTCATCCTCTGTCATCCCCTTTTCCTCCTGCCCCCAATCCCTCCCAGCATCAGGGTCTTTTCCAATGAGTCAACTCTTCTCATGAGGTGGCCAAAGTATTGGAGTTTCAGCTTCAGCATCAGTCCTTCCAATGAGCACCCAGGACTGATCTCCTTTAAGATGGACTGGCTGGATCTCCTTGCAGTCCAAGGGACTCTCAAGAGTCTTCTCCAATACCACAGTTCAAAAGCATCAATTCTTCGGCACTCAGCTTTCTTCACAGTCCAACTCTCACATCCATACATGACCACTGGAAAAACCATAGCCTTGACTAGACGGACCTTTGTTGGTAAAGTTATGTCTCTGCTTTTTAATATGCTATCTAGGTTGGTCATAACTTTCCTTCCAAGGAGTAAGCATCTTTTAATTTCATGGCTGCAGTCACCATCTGCAGTGATTTTGGAGCCCCCAAAAATAAAGTCAGCCACTGTTTCCACTGTTTCCCCATCTATTTGCCATGAAGTGATGGGACCAGATGCCATGATCTTAGTTTTCTGAATGTTGAGCTTTAAGCCAACTTTTTCACTCTCCTCTTTCACTTTCATCAAGAAGCTTTTCAGTTCCACTTCACTTTCTGCCGTAAGGGTGGTGTCATCTGCATATCTGACGTTATTGATATTTCTCCCGGCAATCTTGATTCCAGCTTGTGCTTCTTCCAGCCCAGCGTTTCTCAGGATGTACTTTGCATATAAGTTAAATAAGCAGGGTGACAATATACAGCCTTGACGTACTCCCTTAGAAGTTGTCAAGAACATAAAATATGGATGAGAGAAGAGGGTCTCAGAGGCTGGTGCTTCAGTGATTACTTGCACAGGGCCTTTCCTGGAAGTCCAGTGGTTAAAACATTGTGCTCCCACTGCAGGGGGCAGGGGTTCAATCCCCGCTCAGGGAACTAAGAGCCTACACGCTGCTCAGCAAGGCAAAAAAGAAAACTGGCACAAATGCCATAGACCAGAACTCACTAAAGTCACAGGACCAGTCCTCATTGGAATATAGTTTCAGAGAACTATTTTATTATTCATTTATTTTTATATTTATGTATTTAAATATTTATTTATTTGGCTGTGTTGAAGCTTAGTTGTGGCACGTGGGATCTTCTTGAGTCATGTAGGATCTTTCTTGGTGGCACACAGACTGTCTAGCTGGGGCACAGGCTTGGTTACTCTGTGGCATGTGGGATCTTAGTTCCCAGATCTGGAATCGAACCCACATCCCCTGCATTGCAAGGTGGATTCTTAACCACTTGACCATCAGGAAAGTCCCCTATTAGTAGTATTTTAGGCTTTTGGCTCAGCTCCTTGTAGGGTTTCAGCAGAAGAACTACCTTGGTTTCCGTGGGGAATGATGACATTCAGGAATTACCATGTGCTTTTCAGGCACATGCTTTTTCTCCAAGCATGTAGAGAAAGGTGGGCTCAGGGATGGATGATACTAATCGCCTTCAGGCAAGCACTGAAATCATGCTGGGATCAGACCCTGGGAGGCAAAGATGCAGATGATGAAGTGGGTGATGTGGGATTGTTACTGACCTCACTTATCACAAAAGCAGCTAGTGTCCAGGAAATCCTGTTTACATTCATTCATGGGAGGGGAGTAGACTGACCACACCAAAGAGGATCCTGGAGCTTCTGAATCCTCTGGAAGGTATAAACATTGCTGAATTACCTTTCAGGAAAAAGAATGTGCTCTCAAAGAGACCTTGCAAATATCATGCAGCCACCACTACAAATGTTCCTAGCAGACAACATACAGGTTAGGATCGCTCAGAAGAAGACTAACAGTCCTTCCAGGAAGCTTGCTTTTCATCACAGAATCATTTGCAAACCAGAAAGAAAACAGGAAATTTCAAGATATGCCATAGAATCATGACAGACTGAGATTCCATTCTAGGTTTTATAAGTCACTGTGTTCTACTTGTAAATACATGTTTATATGGAAGGAACATAGCTTAAGAGGCATTTGTAGTTTTAAGAAAATGTACACAAACATTTTAAAAGGTTTGAGTTAATTACAGAAAGTTGATGAATGCCAAAATGAAATAATTCTCAACAAGGCTGATAAGTAAAACCTAACTCCTAGAAAAAAACGGAGTTTACACCTCTAAGTGGGGCAAATACTACCATTTTCTGCAATAAATGTTTATCAGTTGGAGTTTCCCATAGTAAATGTATTTCATTTTAGGTTTGCACATAAATAATCCTTGGAATATTTAAAACAAATCTTGCAATATTATGAGAGAAATACTTTGCCCTTTTAGAAAACAGATATAGAATTTTAATGTTAAACTTTTAGATTATATATAACACCATATATATTTATGTATTATCATTTTATATATCATATATTATCATTTTAAGTATATATATTGTCATATATGTGATATATCATACTTCCAGATTTTACATATTTGCAGATTTTACTTACATTTTAAAAGGAAAAATTTTACAGATATTCATTAACCTTTTCCTTACTTGACCAGCAAAATAAAATAAGCCACAACTTGTCTTCTCAAGGCATCTGTGTAAAAAGATTCTCCTATTCTCTAAAGGTTCTGCATTAGCTGCTAACCAAGCCCATGGCTTCAATTATGTATTTCATCCAAGAGTGAGCCAAAGATTCTGTCTATGACATAAAGGTGAATCTGAGACTCAACTCAGAAATCACAGGTTTAACAAGAATCTACTGGACATGAATTTATTTCATGCTGGTCTCCATGCCAGCTGGAGTGGGTAAGGCCATGAGAAGTGAAAGAAGCAGTTTCTGCTCTTAAGAAGCTTACAACCTTTGGTCTAGATGTGATGTAATAGCGGAAACTATGCAGGAACCTTCCAATAGATCTATTGTCTGGCTTGCCTGGTGTGGGAAGCAGACACATGCAGAATGCCATCCAGGCAACCAATTTGGAGACAATTTGGAAACACAGTGAATTGCTATAGGTCTCTTTTATTTTACTTTCCAATTTGCCAATTTTGCTTTTTGAGTGTCTATCATGTTCTGGACACGGGAGATACAGAGTGAGAACCAAGAGTCCACACTGTGTGCACACGCTAAGAACAAAGGGGATTAACTAGATGGCTTTTTCCAGAGGTCTTCAAACCGTGCACCCTTGAGCTCTCAAAACACTTGCATGACCATTGAATGGAGTCAGGAATGTACTGACTCATTATGGTGAGTCAGGACCCTGGCTTTGATTGTCTAGACAGTTGCCAAGTCCCCCTGCTGGGTCTCCCTGCTTCTATTCTTGTCTCATTAGAATCTGTTCTCACACAGCCTTGGACATCAAGGGGGAGAATGAGAATGGAGAGGAGGACAAATCCTCATCTCGGTCTGTGAAGCTGTCAGATGTCTGGAGACCATGGTGCTGATACCAGATAGTATTTCCTTTCTCCTCTAAATAGCAAAGTCATAGAGAGCAAGGCCATGAAGGGAGGACTTGGTGGTGATCAGTAAACAAACTTCTCTTTCTCAGTAAACAAACATAAAATAAAAATGTTTATTAGAAATTCTTTAAGGGTGATGTGTCAGACATCCATATGTCTCCATCATTGGCTTTTTTTTTTAATTCAAAGAATTTTTTTTTCCTTTATTTTTATTAGTTGGAGGCTAATTACTTTACAATATTGTAGTGGTTTTTGCCATACATTGACATGAATCAGCCATGGATTTACATGTGTTCCCCATCCCAATCCCCCCTCCCTCCCCCCTCCCCATCCTATCCCTCTGGGTCTTCCCAGTGCCCCAGCCCTGAGCACTTGTCTCATGCATCCAACCTGGGCTGGTGATCTGTTTCACCCTTGATAGTATATTTGTTTCAATGCTATTCTCTCAGAACATCCCACCCTCGCCTTCTCCCACAGAGTCCAAAAGTCTGTTCTGTACATCTGTGTCTCTTTTTCTGTTTTGCATATAGGGTTATCATGACAAAGGATTAATCTCAAAAATATACATCATTGACTTTTTAAAAACATTTTATTTTATACTGGAGTATAGTTGATCTTCAGTGTTGTGTTAATTTCAGGTGTACAACAGAGTGATTCAGTTGTACATACACATATATCCATTCTTTCTCAGATTCTTTCCCCCATATGTTATTACAGGGTACTGAGTAAAGTTCCCTGTGCTATATGGTAGGGTCCTTGTTGGTTATCTACTTTATATATAGTAAGGTGTATGTGCTCATCTCAAACTTCTGAGTGTCAGTGGCTTTAAGTTCTAAAATGTCCATCACGTTCTCTCTCCTCCCCACATAGTAAGTGCTCACAACCTTTGTGTGCCTTCATTCCAGTTGCCATAAGCAGCCCTGCAGCTCAAGAGTTCACCGTCGATGTTGAGATCAGTTTTGAAAATGCCTCCTTCCTGGAGCCTATTAGAGCTTACTTGAACAACCTCAGTTTTCCAATTCAAGGGAATGACACTGACCTAGCTACTAACATCTTGAGCATCGAGGTGTCAACAGGTGAGTAAAAGGCCTATTGTTTGAAAGAGGAGGATTGAGCTAATCAGAAGAAACTACTCTGGGCTGCTTACTGTTAGAGGGGAATGCGGGGTGTGGAGGGGAGCAGCCTGGGAAGAATGAACCTCAGACAGGAGGTGATGGAATGGGTGGGTGAGGAGACTTTCTGACCACGATATTCATATCTTAGCACCCCAAATTTCCTCCAACCCCCTCTTCTGTGTCTCCCCTTTCCACTCTGCCAACAGCTTATGTTATGATCCTTTCAAGAAAGGTATTTTTTAATGAATTTTTTATTGAAGTATGGTTGATTTGCAATATTGTGTTAGTTTCCACCGTATAGCAAAGTGAATCAGTGATATATTCACATATATTTATTCCTTTTTAGATTCTTCTCCCATATAGATCATGACAGAGTATTGGATAGAGTTCCTTGTGCTTTTCAGTAGGTTCTTATCAGTTATCTAAAAGGCATTTTAAGTCCTAGTACACAAAACTGAGTATTTTTAAGGCCAGACAATGTGTGTCAAACACTAAACAATACCTGGAATGCGGTAGGTGGTCTGGGGATGGTCACTTTTGCCATCCTCTTAAGGCATATTCATTTTTCATGTGGGAGTCCAAAGTTATTCAAATCCCACCCCCACATCTATCTCAAAAACAAGCAAATGAAAACAGCACCAACAAAATAAAACAACCAAGAAGGCTTTAGAGTGGGATTTCAGGTCAGTAAGGGAGAGATTTTTGACCAAGAGGGTCTTGTTGCTTTCCTTCAAATTACTAGTATCTGCCATACTCACTAGCAGCCTCGAATTCCCTGTTTCCACTTCACCCTGTCCTATGCTGGTGCACAGGACGGCAGCAGTGTCCAAGGATTCCAGGGGACTTGGCTGTCCCTCCTATTTCAGCAACAGTTATTTGACGGCTTTGCTTTGGGAAGTCATCTTGTGGACCTTTGCCTAGATGCCCGCCTGCAGAATTCCCAGGAATATGGCATTGGTCCAGTTTTAGATATAACTTCAAAGTCTTCAGGGCATTTTTCAATGTCAGTTTTCAATGGGATTACAGTCTGCTTGGGCTGTTCACATCTGGCTTGAATATAAAAGGCACAAGTTTAGAAGTATACTCTATATTTGTTATCTATTGCTTCCCCGAAACTTAGCATCTTAAAACAACAAACTCAGGATTCCCTGGCAGTCCAATGGTTAGGACTCTGCAGTTTCACTGCCAAGAGCCTAGATTTGATCCCTGATTGGGAACTTAAGATCCCATAAGCCACATGGCACAGCCAAAGCAAACAAACAAATAAAAGCAACAAACATTTATCATGCTACACAGTTTCTGAAGGCCTGGCTCTGGCTCAGGGTCTCTTGTGAGGCTGTAGTCAAGCCATTAGCCCAAGTTGCAGTCATCTAAAGGCCCAACTGGGGCTGGAAAACCTGCTTCCACGCTCACATGTGTGGTTGCTGGCGGATCCTCCGCTCCTCCGTAGCTATTGGCTGGAGACCTCAGTTCCTAATCATGCGGGCCTCTCTGTGACATGTCCTCATCAGTGCAGCTGACTTCCCCCAGACCAGGTGATCAGAGGGAGAGAGAGAGAGAGAGAGCACATGTAACCAAGAGGGAAGCCACACTGTCTTTTATAACCCAACCTCAGAAGTGATATAGCACCACTTCTGCTGTATTCTATTGGTTACCAGAACAATCCTAGTATAATATGAGTTATTGTTGCCATTTGACCACTGAGTCATGTCCAACTGTTTTGCAACCCCATGGACTACAGCTCCCCAGGCTCCTCTGTCCATAGGATTTCTCAGTCAAGAATACTAGAGTGGGTAACCATTTCCTTCTCCAGGGGATCTTCCCAACTCAGGGGTTGAAACTGTGTCTCCTGCATTGGCAGGCGGATTCTTTACCGTTGAGCCAGCAGGAATCTATAAAAGGGTGTGGGTACCCAGAAGCAGGGATGACTGGGGCCATCTTAGGGGTTGGCTGCCATATACTCAAAGTCTGAGAATCTGTTTACCATCTTATCATTGTAGGCAGTGGCTGGGATAGTTGGCATCGCCCTCTTTTAGATGGCTCTGCCTCACAAAAGGTGATGTGTATGGGAATTACGAGAACCTCATGCAGGGTCACTGAACTTCCCAGAAGGGCAATATAGAGTGGAATTAGGATTTCCTACAAGCCTAAGTACTTGTAATCTATAAATTACATCTTTTCTCTCCTCACTGTTCTGGTTGATGACAGTCTGCAGACCTACTGGAAATGAAATCTGGTGCTCCTGTGAGACAGGCTATGAGTGGCCTCAGGAAAGTTGCCTTCACAATCTCACTTGTCAGGGACATGATGGTTCCTCTGCAGGGCATCACTGCAGTTGCCTTAAGGGACTGCCTCCCAAGGGACCTTTTTGCCAGCTCCGGGGAGGTAAGTAACTGCTCATTGAAAGCTTGTTTGTTGAGTGCCAATTTGATATCAACTCAAGAAAATGTTTCTCTCTCCTGTGTGTACTCATGCTAACATGGGATTTTAAAAATATGACCCTGTGTTCTCCATAGATATTATCCTGAGAATGTCGGTCAGACTCAATGTGGGCTTTCAAGAAGACCTCAGGAACTCTTCCTCTGCCCTCTATAAGTCCTACAAGACTGACCTGGAAACAGCGGTGGGTTGTGGTCCCAGGAGTCTCTACACCAACAAAATCTGAGCTGAGCTAAATCTATTGCATTTACAGTGGGTTGTTTGCTTGAATCTGTCAGAATTCATGAAGCTTATATTGAAATTATTTCTATACCTCTGGGATGATGATTTAAGAACTGCTCAAATCATACTGTGTTCAGAGGATGTTTTGACATCTTGACCTGATATCATCTTGACCCATGACATTATCTTGACCTATGACATTATCTTAACTTTTGACATCATCTTGACCTCTTTGGCTTCATCTTGACTTTTGGCATCATCTTGACCATTTTTACACCATCTTGACCTTGACATCATCTTGATCTACCATCTTTGACATCATCTTGACATATAGGTGGAAATTCTTCCCAGAATAGAATTGATTCAGATAAAATTTGGTGGCATTAACTCACTAAAACCTGTTCAAAGTTCCAAAACCTTGGTCTAGAAGTATCAGATGGTGCATTTCTATTCATCTTTACACACCACACTGATGAAACCCCTAACATCTTTTGTGCAGACCAGTTAAGTCTGACATAGAGGATTCTACACCACTCGATACTAGAGGTACTTAAGCATTCACATTTAAGACAGATTTAAATTTACTCGTGTAGATAGGTTCATCTGTGTCACACTTCAGACTCCACATACCAGAAACAGACTCACAGATCCAGAGCACAGACTGGCTATCAAGGGCAAGTGGAGGAAAGGATTGGGAGTTTGGGGTCAGCAGACGTAAACTAGTATACATAGAATGGATGACAAACTAGGTCCCACTGGGTAGCATAGGGAACTATATTCAGTGTCCTGCGATCAACCATAATAGAAAAGAGTATGAAAAACTATGTATGCATATGAAAATCTGCTCATGTAAAGATAAAGGGTATTCCCTCAGTGTAAAATGTGTGCCAGACACTATCCTAAGTGCTTTACATTGGACTAATTCATCTAAACCTAAAGACTTTGGTTGAATCAATTCATTTGGAATAGAGCTTCTCAACTAGCATGGTACAAATTGCTATAGGTAGACTGATGTAATGTCTCCCCTTAACTCTCCAGGCAGCCAACCACCTGCCTCAAACCAGGAGCAACCTCCCGCTTACCCCAGTCAAGTAGGGGTTAATATTTTTTATTGGTGCCATCATGCAACGCTGATACAGGAGAGTTCTTGGATATCTGATTTGCATATCAGGCATGTAATAATTCTGCACAGCATGAGAATCCTCCTCCTGCACACAAGTCACACTACACATATCACACAACATTGTATACTTTTGAGAAAAAAAGACAGTAACATATTAATTGTTTGATCCTGCCCATCCAGCTCCCTAAAACAGCACTTTGCAGGTGCAATCTACCCTGTAAATGTAACTTGACTCAAATTGAATCTCCTGCGGAGTTGGAATTCAGGGAAACAAAGTGGAGTTAAAAACATCAGTAAAAACCACATTGGCTCAACCAAAGCTGTGATATGTTTAGTGAGGAATCAGGCAGTGTATTGGTCACAGGAAGACACCTCGTAGATTTCCAACTGCAGGAAGTGTAAATTGACTGTGGATCCCAACTGCTGCCCATACTAGTGAGTGAGCAGGGCACGTCTGTCTGACACACGCCAGACTCCTTTGGAGGCTATACTGTACTTCTAGGCTCAGTCTAGATGATTTCATCTAACCTCCTCTCCTGTTCAGTTTCACTCGGGTCTGATTGCTCTGTCCACCTTCCCTGATGCCTCCTCATTGTTTTCCTCTAGGCATTTCCCTAAGTCATTTATTTTAATTTAATTTGTTTCTGGCTGTGCTGGGTTTTCATTGCTACATGAGCTTTCTCTAGTTTCAGTGAGTGGGGCTGCTCTTCCCTGTGATGCGTGGGCTTCTAATTGCAGTGGCTTCTCTTGTTGCAGAGCACAGACTCTAGGGCAAATGGCTTCAGTAGTTGCAGCATGTGAGCTCAGTAGTTGTGGGTCTCGAGCTTGGTTTCCCTGAGGCATGTGGGATCTTCCCAGACCAGGGATTGAATCCCTGTCTCCTGCACTGGCAGGTGTATTACTACTGAGCCTCCAGGGAAGCCTCCCTAAGTCAATTTTTTGCACATTTACTCTGATGTTTGCTTCCTGGAGAACCCAGAATGACCCAGGTAAATAGGAATTACTTCTCCAAAGATCTGAAAAGCTACACTTATTCAGCCACTTAACAAAACATACAGAGAGCATTTTACCCAACGTGATAAGAAATACGGGCTTCCCTGATGGATCGGTGGGTAAAAAATCCACCTGCAATGCATTAGACACAGGAGACGCATGTTCAATCCCTGGGTTGGGAAGATCTCCTGAAGGAGGGAATAGCAACCCACTCCAGTATGCTTGCCTGGACACATCAGATGTGACTGAGCATGCACACATGATAAGAAATACACACTTTTTACTCTGTTTCAAATCATTTGACATATCTGTCAGTGGACCTTGATTAATGGTACTTGTCTTGCTTTATTTTCCAGTTCTGGAAAGGTTACAGTATTTTACCAGGCTTCAAATTGGTGGCGGTGACAGGGTTCAGGTAAGAATGCCCTAATTGGGTAATTTTATCCAATGGCGGGCTTCCCTGGTGGCTCAGTGGTAAAGAATCCGCTTGCAAGGCAGGAGCCGCAGGGGACATGGGTTTGATCCCTCAGTGGGAAAATCCTCTGGAGGAGGGCATGGCAACCCACTCCAGTATTCTCACCTGGAGCATCCCTTGGACAAAGGAGCCTGGCAGGCTACCATCTACAGGGTCGCAAAGAGTCGGAAACGACTGAAGCGACTTAGCACACACACGCACACATCCAATGACTGATACCAAAAAGTTAGTGAAAAAGCAAAAGCCTGCTAGAGGAGCCCCATCTGGGATGCCCAGTGGGAACAGTTTGATAGAGGTGAAGACAATGCCAGATTGCCAGGGCTTGAAGGGGAAGGAAATACTGAGAACAGTAGTTTACTCCTTAGAGATGTACCTATCTAGAGGGAAGGTGAGAAAAAGATCTGTGTTCATTCTATGCATGCATGAATTTTGCAAACAAAGATGTGGCATCTAGAGGGTCAGAAATACAAAAGTGAAATAATGTCATGCAGTGGTGCCCTTATTTTATAATTTTTTTTAACATTTATTTATTTGGCTGTGCCAGGTCTTCGTTGTGGCACATGAAAACTTCAGTTGCAGCACGTGGGATCTAGTTCCCTGACCAGGGATCAAACCCAGGCCCCCTGCATTGGGAGCAAAGAGTCTTAGCCACTGGACACCAGGAAAGTCCCAAATATGCCTTTACTTTAGAAAATTAGCCAGTTAGCTATGGCTATAGTGTTGTACAACACCATGTAATACCTCCCCGTGGAATTAGGTGCCCTGACAGCCCTGAGTATGTTTGCCCAGTGTTTCAAAAAGCCACTTGCCAATTACAAAATTAAGAATGTTTCCATAAACATTGAGGATTTTGACTTCACTGGATATTCAGCATAGCTGGTAACCCTGGGTCAGTCTGGCTATGTGGCAACAGTCTCCACCTTGTAGTTAATACCCTTTGACCACTTGTGGGATTCAGTTCACTCCACCCCATCTGGCTATCCTGGCCATTTATGTTACCTGTCTGCAGACATTTGAGTGTTTGAACCCTGCCTCAGGCTTTCAACTAGAGCTTAGAAATAAGTGGATTTCAAGTGAACCCTCAAAGAAAAAGGTCCCCAGGCTCTTCCTGCCATTTTGCTTTCTTATGCAAACAAACCATAAGAATCTAGACTCTTCCAGGTCACTTACTGCTTTTACTGAACTGAATGGTCTCCATCCAGGCCTGGAAGTGTGGTTGTGATGTATGAAATCTCAACAACAACAACAGCATCACCTGCATTAATGTATAAAGCGAACGAGAAAGTCACACAGAACCTCAATCAGACCTACAAGATGGAGAGCAATTCCTTTCAGGTCACTTACAGCAGTAAGTAGACTATTGCTGCATTCTTCCTATACGTACCTTCTACTTAGATATGGTAACAGTATTTATCATGATGCATAAACCTGAGAAGTCGCATGATGACTTCCTCTGTGCAGAAAAACTCTCCAGTTCCTGGCATACACGTTTTGTGCCTTCTCCTCACCATCGGCCACTTTGGCACCTCCTTTGGGTGGCGATGGATGTGGAGGGTCCCAGGAGGGAGAGATTTTACAAGGAGGGGCCACAGAGCCATCTGGGTTTACTGATTTTTTTTTTTTAATTGACAGACTCAAAACATTCAAAAAGGAGAACTAACATTGTGATGGTAGTTGCTGCTCAGTCACTCAGTCGTGTCTGACTCTTTGTGACCCCATGGACTATATAGCACACCAGGCTTTCCCATCCTTCACTGTCTCCCGGAGCTTGCTCAAACACATGTCCATTGAGTCAGCGATACCATCCAACCATCACATCCTCTGTCTCCCACTTCTCCTTCTGCCCTCAATCTTTCCCATCATCAAGATCTTTTCCAATGAGTTGACTTTCTGCATCAGGTGGCCAAAGTATTGGAGCTTCAGCTTTAGCATCAGTCCTTCCAATGAAAATTCAGGGTTGACAGACCCCAAACCTCCCCAGAAGTAGAACCAACATTGTGATGGTGGAGAGGCGGGTATTCATGAGATGCCCTGATATTGACCAGGGGCACATTGTTACTTTAGAGCAGTAGTTCTCAAATTGTGGCCCCTCCAGCAGCATCCACACCATCTGGAAACTTGTTAGAAAAGCAAATTCTGGGGGTCGCCCCAGACCAAGCTGGGCCAATCTGTATTTTGGCAAGCCCTCCAGGTGATTCTGATGCAGGGGAGATTTGAGAACCACTGCTTTGGATCACATATAGCAGTGGTAAGAGTCCTGGCATTTTAGATGTTCTCCCTCATTTTCCAAATGGGGTATAGAGTTGGGATCTGTTGTGTAATTAGGTGGGTGCATTTATTGTGGACTGGGGGAAAGCAAGGGGAGCCAACTGAGCAGAGATGTGATGAGCAAGCGATGACTGGCAGCTGTTGTGCATAACTCAGGCCCATGGTTCACGACTTCACAGCTGGAAGGAAAAGCACCTCTTCTCAGGAGTTAGACCATCCTTACAATGGATCCATGCTCTATCTCTTTACAATCACTGCTAATATTTTTAGACATCCTATCATTTGGGAAGGAGAGGGTGGGGCAAATTGTGAGAGCAAATCACCCTTAGGGTAAATGACTTGCTCAAGGCCACATGGTAAGTAACATCATTTTGAGTGCCTCAGGTCACCACATGAAATATTCACAGGTGGCTTTGCTTCTGAATAGTTGAATGTGATTTTCTGAAATCTTATTTTATTCAGGAGCCTGAAAAACCAGGCAAGAGACATTTAGATACCTGGATATTTTGAACATCATAGCACCCCAAGTTAATTCCATGGTATTTTAGGCCCATGTTTACAGTACAAACTGGCTTCCCTTGTGGCTCAGTTGGTAAAGAATCCACCTGCAATGCGGGAGACCTGGGTTCGATCCCTGGGTTGGGAAGATCCCCTGGAGAAGGGAAAGGCTACCCACTCCAGTATTCTGGCCTGGAGAATTCCATGGGCTCTATAGTCCATGGGGTCGCAAAGAGTCAGACACGACTGACTGACTTTCACTTTGACTTTACAGTAAGAACAGGATGTGGCCTGAGCATAAAGAACCATCCAAAAGAGCCTCCCAGACCCTTCTTTCTCAGCTCCTTAGATTTTCTCAATACATGGAATTCATGAATAACAGCTCAGCTTAGAGGGAAAACCTGTATGTTATATAAGCAAAGGAGAGCCATAAAAGCCCTAAAATTACGAGTACCGTGTTTTTATTTCTGTCTGTGAGATGACTTAATGCCACATCTCTTGAGAAGTTTACTGTGAAACCAGTAAGAATAGCTACTATCCCTCCAAGTCACCTCCCAAGTTAGCTCTCACTCATCCTGTCTTCCAGACAAGGAAGCCAAGGTTCAGAGATACTCAGCAAGCTCCCCAGCGCCACACAGCTATGCCTGGCTCAGAACCAGAATTCAAATTCAGATCTGTGTGTCTATAAGCTGCCACTTTTATATAGGCCCATAGGTGTTAGGTCTTTAAAAAATGTTTTATTTCCCAAGCACGTGTTATTGTAAAAAATTAATTGGTTTTCCCACTTTTAATTTTTCAAAGGCACAAGACAGCTTTCAGTCAGCATGAGGTATCAGTTATCAGTAACAAACAGTTGATATTTCTCAAATCAGGGGCAAAGAAACTTGATGTTTAAGTTAGTTAGTGTGACTTTTTCATAAGCAAATGTGCAATTTTCTACCAGACTATTAGACATTTTTCTTACATTTTTATTTTATAAATTTTATTGAAGTATAGTTGATTTACAATGTTGTGTTAATTTCCACTGTACAGCAAAGTGGTTCAGTTATCTATATTTATATTTGTACTTTCTTTGTCATATCCTTCTTTTCTGTGGTTTGTCAAAGGATTTTGAACATAGTTCCCTGTGCTATATGATAAAACCTTGCTGTTTATCCAACCTATACATGATAGTTTGTATCTGCTAATCCCAACCTCCCAATCCATCCCTCCCCTATTCTCCTTCCGCTTGGCAACCACAAGTTGCCAAGTTGTCTGTTCTTTGTATCTGCGACAGACTATTTGAAACACTGAAAATAGATTCGGGATCCCCATTAGCATCATTGACAGCTCTCAAGTGTGCAAAGATCCCAAGCCAGAAACCGTGTCCCTAATAGCTGGCTCGGTCACTCCGGGGCCCTCAGGTCCCAGCTGTCCAGGGAAGTAGTGCGGGGAACCCATTGCATCATTCATCGCCACAGAGACATCTTGAGAAGACCAGTGGTGGTAGCATCGGGGAGTAGCATTAATTCCATTCATTTGCTTTGGGATCCTAATAGCTTTTGTTTGGGTTTCCAGATGAAACGAAATTCTCCATCACACCAGAAATCATCTTTGAAGGAGATACAGTAACCCTGATGTGTGAGAATGAAGTTTTTTCCACCAACGTGTCCTGGACGCATGTGGAAACGGACCTCGACATCCAGAACAACACTGAAGTCTCCATCTACACCTCTGTGCTCAACAACATGACCTCTGTGTCCCGCCTTATTATCCACAACATCACTCGGGATTACACGGGTGGGTTGCCATCCAGAAACTGGGGCAAGGAAAGGAATGAAGGGCTAAGAAAGAATCAAACCATGGTAGTGTGTGTAGACAGCCTTTTCCTCTTCAAAAAGAAGCTCAAATTTTCACAACTGAAAATTGATCCCATGGTGAACGAGACAAGCAAATTTAGCCTGGGGAGACAAATATTATTTTCCACATTTACCGAAGCTTATGAGGTGGAACCTAAGACAAAAAGCAGGTTTCCTTTTTTTTTTTAAACATTTTTAAAAAATGTGAGAAGAGCTTTGTTGAGGTAGAATTGACATAGAATAAACTGTACATATGTAAACTTAATATGCTTACATTTATCATTTAAATTATAACTTACATGTATAATTGTGTACCTATAGTTTAATAAGTTTTGGCATGTGTATACACCTGTGCAACTATCACCATAATCAAGATACTGAACATATTCATCACTGCTCTCCCCAGGTTTTCTTCTTCTCTGTTGTAATCCCTCCCACCTGTTCCTCCCCAGCAACCACAGAAGCATAACTCTTACACCTGACATTCCAAAATTTAATAGCATCACTGCAATCCAGATGTCAACAGAGGCATCTCATTTTCTCTGAATGAGAAACTGGACTGCAGACACATGGATTCTATCAGGTGTTTGGTGACTCTGACTTTGCCACAGAGTTAAATAGGATGCCAAAATGATCCTTGATTTTCTGATTCTCCAAGGTTTTCCCATCTTCCGTTTGTACCTCTGAAGCATCCCCACACTTTTTTTTCTTACCAGCAAGGACTCAGATTTCTGCTTTTTCCTTAGAACATCTCTCTGCTCCTCACCTTGTGGCATCAGAAATATCTCCCTAAACCTTCTATACCTCCTGAATATTCCTTTGGGGTTGCTTACACCAAGTCTCACATGCTTTTGAAAATGGTTTTTCATGAAGTACCACCATGACACATGAGATGAGGCCATCATTCTTCTAGGGAACTAGACATATGTAATAGTAATCATCCATGTCTTTTTGTGTATTCGCTACAGGTGAATACATTTGCAAACTGACATTAGATATTTTTGAATATGCATCCAGAAGAAAAGTGGAAGTTATACCCATCCAGATACTGGCAAGTGAAGCCACGGAGGTGATGTGTGACAACAACCCTGTGTCTTTGAGCTGCTGCAGTGAGGTGAACGTGAATTGGAGTCAAATTGAATGGAAGCAGAAAGGGAGTATAAGCATTCCAGGTGAGCCTGTTAAGAACCCTTTGATAAATAGGTTTCTTGCCTTTGGGCCAAGTAAAAATGGAGATGCGGTGGGTAAAACAGCAAGTGTGGGTAGCTGGTTTTTTTCTAGACCTCAGACTGTGGAAAAAGTACTAGGTTTGATGCCAGCTCCAGCTAAGCCATGCTAGAACAAAATTCCAAAAATATGTACACATAAGTGTCATGTGTGTTCTGTGCTCAGTCATGGCCAACTCCTTGTGACCCCATGCACTGTAGCCCAACAGGAATACTGGAGTAGGTTGCCATCTTCTCCTCTAAGGGATCTTCCCAGTCCAGGGATTGAACCCGAGTCTCCTGTGGCTCCTTGGATAGCGAGTGGATTCTTTACCTGCTGAGCCGTCGGGGAAGTCCATAAGTGTCATGCTTGGGTTGTAAACAAGATTCTGGCAGAGAAGATTCAAGAAGGAGTGATGGGATGACATAGGTTTATGGCATCTTCCCTGCAGAAAATCTTGTCCCCACTTCCCTTTCCTTTCCCTCTTCAACAAAGAGACAAAGATGAGGTCACGGGTTTTGCTTTGAAGTCGAATTCCTGAGTCTCTCCTCCTGGTGTCTGTCCTTCCCACTCATTATTTGACTCTTTGTCTTTGATTCTATATCTTTCTCTATCAACCGGTTTGTCTCTCAACCAATGTCAATTTCTGATCTTGTTGGTTATCTGAGATCACGCTTGAAATTCCCCACCTTTTAAGTTATACTGATGAATAATAATAAGTAGAAGAAATTAAAATAGCAATAGTGCTCTTTTTTGTGTAATAATTTATGATTAACCAATTTTTGAAAAACATGTTATCACTTGAAAAAATGTTTATTTATTTTAATTGGAGGATAGTTGCTTTACAATATGAACCAGTTATAAGTATGCATATATTGTTATCACTTTAATCACATTTAAATTTGACCACAAGTTTAAATCAGGCATTTTTTTTTTTTGCCTTCCATTTTCAAATAAGTAAATTGAGGTTCAAATTCAATGACTTATCCAAGGATATCACAATAGAAAAAGAAATTCATTCACCTTGCTTCATAGTCTTTGTCTTGGCCAAACTATATCACACATGCCTGGTGAGTCAGACTTGGCATGAGCTCATCCGGCAGAAATTGTACTGTGAAACAGAAGACTGTTCTCTGCCTAGAAACCTCACGTAGGCAATTCTTTTCTTAAGAAATGACAGTATTATGTGCTCATCTTTCAAGTAAAAAAAAAAATCATTAAAGCAACTGTAGCTTTAGCCATGAAATCCATCAGTGTGGTGGAACTTTTATAAACCGTTTCCTGTCAGACAATATTAAATCATAAATAAAATAAGGATCAATTGAAATGTAATGTTTTCTGAGCACATCTAGTTTGCAAAGCACATTTGTTTCCACCTTAAAGTACTCTGCAGAATGGGAAAGGCATCTGGTAACTGTTGAACAAGTTGACATATGGTCCATTTAGCCACTTCCCTGATTCTTAAGGAAGAGGAGGTGTAGACATCCTGAAGGAAATACCAGATGGGAGAAAGACCTTGCACAGTTCCCGTGGTGCTGACTTAGATGCTTTCAACTGTGAGTGGTGAAAAGCCTGGCCCTCTGGCAAAGGAACCAGGAAGTCTCCAGTACAGATGCTCAGGGACCTCTCTGTGGCCGTCTCTGCTACAGACATTCCTAATGCCCGGGGCAGGCTCAACCAACAACAGAACAATGGATTTCCTGCCACCAGCTGGCCGCCCGGGGACCCGCACAGCCGGTTCTCTGATGAATTTAACCTCTGCTCTCTCAACACCTGTCCCCTTTCCTTCTCCCTTGCCCTCCCTTCGCTGGGGCCATCTTTCTCCAAATTCCACAAGTTCTCTTAGCAGCCGTTTTTCTAGATCAGGAGAAAGCAATCTAGTTAAATAATTCACCCCAATGTGTTGGAACTGAACGCATCGCCTCATCTCAGAAATGGTTGCACTGGATTTTCAAAGCACTTCTGGCAAGGGATAAGATGGAAAGGAAGTAATCCATAGTGTCAGAATTTCTAACTTTAAGAAGATGAGGGTGGTCTTTTTCAAACAGGTTGGGCTTTCTGGGGTATTTGGGTATTTCAGTGCTTGTGGAATCTTAGAGATTGAACTCACCAGGGACAGTGAAAGTGCTAAATCCTAACCAATAGATTGCTAAGGAGCTCCCAGGTTTTCATCTTTTAAATAGAGACAGTGGTACCCATTTTGTGAGACTTTTGAGAGAAGAGAAAAGAGATAATAAATGTCAACATTTAAAGCAGACTTGAATATATTGAATCTGCCACAATAACTGCTTCCTGATAATGATGATAGCTTTGAAAACCATGTCTTCCCTTATCCTCAATGTCCTGGGAATTCTCCATTGGATGTTATTTAATCTTGAGAACAAACCTGTAACTGCCTACCACCTCTTTCCTGGAAAACACAGCGCCAACTTACAGTCTGTATTCAGTACCTTCCATTGTTCTGCAGTCAAGGGAGAGGGATGGAGTGAGAGGTCCTGGAGGAAGTGGAGGAAGTAGGTTTTCTAAAAATAAGAGGATGTATGAGCCTTGGAGATGAAAGGACATTTGTACCTATGAACCAGGAGGTATTAATAATATACCCAAGGTAGGAAATCAGTTTGGTGTTCTGAATCACCATTTTGGGGGCTGGGGAGAAAAGTTGGTTCCTTTTTAATCAGAATATTTTAATATCATTGATCCTCCAGCTAAGGCTAAAGAAGATGCATTTATGTTAGAGTTCATCAGAAGGGTCTTTTTCTTTTCTTTAACTTTTGGAAGATTGTCAGTGTTTGAGGAATGTCTTCAGAGTACATGGCAGAAGGCAAGGATGGAAGGGAGAGCGTGAAGGAACAGAAGTAGAAAAAGGTGGCCAAGAGGGCATCATAGAGACACAGGCAGGAAGTGAGATGGCGTGGGAGGGAAAGCGTCTTGGGAACGGAAAGGAAGACAGGGAGAAGCAGCTTTCTGAAGGGTGAACTGCTGGTAACCAAAGAAAACGTGAAGGTAAAGCTTCCACTAAAACATATGACTAATAGGAAGGAATCAGTTACGAAAACAGATCTCAAGCGAGGTATCAGAGGCCCGAGTCCTGTTTCTTCCTCCTTTTAATAATAAAAATAGTCAAAGTAATCTAGCATCTTTTTCCCTTCCAATTGAAATCATATCCAAGGACATGACTTCTCTTTTTTAGTTTTTCACACCCCAGCAGCCATCATGGTCTTGGTTGGGGGCTGGCCCCAACCGGACATTAACTCCTTTTACCCGACTACAATCCTCGGTCATAGCTGTTATATATCCCCATCTTACATCTGGAGAAACTGAGGTAGAGTGTGGCTTAGTGCCTTTGCCAACAACACCCTGCTGGTAGGTAGTAGAGTGTTGGGGACTTCCCTGGTGGTCCAGGGGTTTAAGACTTTGTCTTCCAATGCAGGGAGTGTGGGTTCGAGCTCTGATCAGAGAGCCAAAATCCCACGTACCTTGCACCCAAAAAACCAAAGCATAAAGAACAGAAGCAATGTTGTAACTGGTTCAATAAAGACTTTTTAAAAAACGAAAACAATGGTCCACATTAAAAAAAAATACAGAGAGATAATAATAATACAGTTTGGAAACTGCAGCCAGGCCACCTGGATCTTGAAGTGGCAGGACTGACCATTACACCATCCTGCCTCTCCATTCAAAGAGAAAACTGGATGTAAATAAGGAGTCATTTTAGCTGATTTGGCTTCTTGTTTTTTTTTTAAATAACTTTATTTATTTATTTTTGGCTGTGTGCGGTCTTCATTGCTGCTCGGGCTTTTCCCTAGCTGTGGCAAGAGGGGATTACTCTCTAGTTGCGGTGCGAAAGCTTCATGTGGGATCTTCCAAGATCAGGGATCAAACCCATGTCCCCTGTATTGGCAGGCAGACTCTTTACCACTGAGCCACCAGGAAGCCCCCGATTTGGCTTCTCTGCTACCAGATCAGAGAGTCAGATAACTGTGACAGTAAAGAACCTCTTCTGTTGTTGCAGGAAACGCTGAAATAGACACAGACACTGGCTGCAGCAGATACACCCTCATGGCCAATGGGACTCAGTGTCCAAGCAGGTCGTCTGGAACGACAGTGGTCTACACGTGTGAGTTCATCAGTGCCCACGGAGCCAGAGGCAGAAAGGACATAGAAGTGACCTTCATCTCTGTGGGTAAGGACACTTTCACTAGTATTTTGGGGCTTGCCCCCTCAAATCAGGGGCTGCCAATGAACTGGGAACATCCACGAGCAGTGAAGCTGGACCTTCCTGGTAATGAGAGGGTGGTTGGGGTAAATCACACAGTGCGATTTTCATCTCTGCTGTTTAAATTCACATGAATTCCTTAGAAGGAAGGGTCAGAGTAGGAAGAGGTGGTTGCAGGGAAGGAACCGCCTACGTTGTCCTGAGAAGGCAAAAAGCTGAAGTAGGTTTCACACTCAGGTTAGTCACTGAATAAGGAAGGAATCCCACGGACTAAGAGTCGACTGAGTGACTTTCACTTCACAAGGATAATGCCCCTAATCTCCTACTTTTTCTCCCATAATCCCATTCTCCCTCCCTTGAATTTCAATAGCTTGGCTCATTCCCCACCATCCTTCATCCCCCCTTTTCTCTCCTCTTTCATCTTTTTCAGAGAGAATGCAGCAGAAAGCTTTAGGAGTCTGGTATTTCATGGTTATCTTACAGCTGTAACAAGTGTTTTTGTTTTTTTTTTAATGTTTCAATTAATTCTAGGACTCTTAAAAGTATCATTTCTACTGCTTATATCTTAAAGCATTCTAACTTCACCCCATATCAGACACTTAAAACTTTCTGCTGCATTCTCTGCAAAAATTGGGCAGGCAAACATGTTTTTGCACCCATCATACAGAAACAATTTAGATGAATCATCAGTCCCCACTTCTGAACAATTTGGGTGCCTCTACTTCTCAGCCCAGATATAATTATTTGGGCAGTGTAAACGCTGTGATCCCTCTGCTTCACAAGTCATTCTAGAAACCACTCATCTGCTTGGTAAGCACCGACTGGGTACTGGACCCAGTGCTGATGCTGGGGATGTGAACAAAGACACCCATGAGCGGGTCCTGCTCTTAAGGAGCTCACATTTTTATGGATAAGAGATACAAAAGAGAAATTAAGACACACGATGGTATTTTTAAAAGTTATTTTGAAAGAGTAGAAAATGATACGGTCATAGGAACTGAGCCGTTGAGTCTCCCTTGAGGTGCCTGGAAGAGGTTGGAGGGGAGTTTGGGTTAAGGCAACACTCTAAGTTTGCAACCTTCTGCCCTGCTGATCATTAGGAGATAATTCCAGCCACAAAGGGGACGTGCACGAATCCCAAAGGCTTCTGATGGAAATGAGTACAGTTCAGAGCACCACCAAGAACAGCCTAGAAACAAGTAAAGCCCCGGAGCAGCAAGGTACCAGTGCCGCGTTGACCCCAGTAGAGTCAGGACTGCTCATGCTTTCTGTCTCCATGTGAAATTTCACTCTATGTGGACATCACCAGAAAGACTAAACATTATACTTGTTGTTGGTTTTCTTTTGTCTGTTTTGTTTGTATTCTTTTAGCCAAGCTAAACATAACCCCGGACCTAATTTCTGTTTCTGAGGGACAAAGCTTTTTTATAAAGTGCATCAGCGATATGAGTAACTATGATGAGATGTACTGGAACACTTCTGCTGGAACTAAAATATACAAAAGGTTTTATACCACGAGGAGGTACCCTGACAGAGCAGAGTCGGTGCTGACAGTCAAGACCTCAACCAGGGAGTGGAATGGTGAGTGAAAGCCCAGATACCCTGGACCCTGGTTCTGGGACCCCTAGAAATACACTGGAACCATTACCATCCATGGAGGGCCTGGCTCGAGCCATGCCTATGCCAGCCACTCTACATGTCATGTCATCACTCAATACAACAGCCCTTTGGGGGAAGATGTCACTAGTCCCATTTTACAGATGTGGAAAGTGAGGTTCAGAGAGGATAATAAATGTGCCTAAGTTTCTGCAACTTAAGTTTTAGAGCAAGAATTAAAACTGGTCTCTTTGTTTCTAGAGCCCGTGCTTTGCCATTAAGAAGATTTTTTGTTTTAATTTAACGATAGTTAATTTACAATGTTGTGTTTAGTTTCAAGTGTATGGCAAACTGATTCAGTTTTATATGTTTATATACACACACACACACACACATGTGAAGATATCATGTATATGTGATAAATATAATTCCCATGTAATCACATATAATCACCTATATATGTGATTCAGCTTTATATATAAAACAATTCTGTTTTTATATATGTATGTGATTCAGTTTCTTATATGAAGTGATTCAGTTTTATATATATATATATATATATATATACACATATATATGTTCTTTTTTAGATTCTTTCCCATTATTAAGATATTGAGTATAGTTCCCTGTGCTATACAGTAGGTCCTTGTTATTCATCTATTTTATGCATTAGTGCTATGCATGTAATTCCAAACTCCTAAGAGGATTGTTTTTTAAAATATTTTTACCAGACTCTTGTTTCACCAAACGGAGGTATAAAAATTCTTCCTAAAGGTTTTATATGCCTGGTTCCAAAAAAGGAAAGAAAAACATTTTTATTTTCTACTTATCCCTAGGTACTGTTTAAGTTGAGAGAAAATGCAAGTTTTTGAAAGAAAAAGCAATTTAATAGGATCCCTTCAATATAACTGACACTTCTTGAGCTTCTGCTGTGTGATAGACACTGTGCTAAGTACTTAAGTACATGAATTAATTTGAAACAATAAACCTAGAGGGGAGTGTCATTATCATCTCCATTTCACAGATGAGGACACTGGGGCCCAGTAAGGGTAAGAAAACGCCTGAGGTTTTGCACCTGGTGAATGGCAGAGCCAAAGTGAAAAGGTGACTATCTGGCTCGAGGCCAACAGTTTTAGATTTTTTTTGGCCACGCTTGTGGGATCTTAGTTCCCTGACCAGGGATCGAACTAAACGTGGAGAATTAAATACTGAACCACCCCCAGAGGCCAATTATTAACTACTTTGTTCTAAAGCTTTTCATGAATTACAGGCTTGATCAGTCCAGATCCTGCGAGTTCCAGGTCATCTTGATTTTTTCCTATGAGGAAAGCCTAGGCAGCACTGTAGAAATAACTGCTTCTTTTCTGGCTGGACTTGGTGGATACCATCAGGAATGGGAATATTTTTCTCCTAAGCTGAGCTCATACTTGCTCTGCCCAATAGCCCTTTCTGACTATCAGACAATAACTTAGGAGGAGCCAGAGCTATCCTAGTTATATTGAACTATTAAACAGTCCCACTCAGGTTCTAAAAATCTTCTGTTCTCATCAAAATTGACTACACTTTTCTATTCCATGTAAAGTTTCCCTCCCTCCCAATGGGAATTGGAAGGCATTTTCTCTCTGGAGAAATTGGAAAACATTTCTTTTTCTACTTGTTTTTCCTCTGCCCAGCAGCTGCTCTGACTCCCCCAAAGTTAGGGCAAAGAGAAGGAATGTCAGCAACATTGAAAGGTCCTAAACTGTAGATGCTGTTATAAACTTGCGGCTGTCCCCACGGCAGCTGACCCAGCGGCGGTTCATCCTCTGATAGGCTCTGGTGTGAAGTCCAGTGGAGAAGGTGGCTTTCATGAAGGTCAACCCAAGCCCTGTCCACAGTCCACTCTGCTTCACCAAGCACTGGGTGTGCAGGCCACTCCTGCTGCAGCTTTCTCTTTTCACTCATGCAAAGTTGAGTCAGTCCATTCCCATCTTCAGACTTTTCTAGAAACGCATCAGACATCCAATCCCAGAGTCCACAGGTCAAGCTCTCGCAAGAGTTCACAATCCACCTCTCCCTCCTTCCTCCTTCCCTCTGCACTTCTTAGTGGCACCATGATGTGCCAGAACTGGAGGCATCTACTCCCTTAAGATGGGTGTCACAAGACCCCAGGGCTCCGGCTCCATCTCACTGACAACTTTCTTCAAGAACTCCCCAGCCCGGCACAGACCAAAGTTCTCATTTTTTCCCTCCTGGTTAAAGAAAGAGCCTTGGAGGAGATCTTGGGAACCTGATTTGAAACTCGATCTCACTCCAACAGGCTGTTTGACTCTGGATAAGCCACCACATTGTATTAAAAAGTAAGTGAATGTTTCCATGACGATGGGTTCAAATGCATAGAAAGCCCAGGAGAGGACTTGATGGAGTGTTTTCTCTTCTAGGGCCTGGGAGGGGTCGCTGTGCGCTTGTCCCAGCTTGACAAGGAAACCCGATCCTCTTCTTAACTTTCTCAGCCAATGCCTTCTTGTTTTTGTTTTTTGATTTTGCAATGGCTTTATTAGATAAAATTCACGCACTATAGAATTGATTCTTTCAAAGGATACATTTCAGTGGCTTTTACTATCCTGGAGTTGTGCAAACTTTACCTTAGTCAATTTGAGAACATTTTCATCCCTCAGCATCACCCCCGCCAAGAGAAATTCCATATGCTTTACAAGCCACCTCATTTTTCCCAAACCCCCAGCCCTAGGGAACCACTACTCTATTTTCTGTTCCTGTATATTTGTCTACTGTAGATGTTTCATAAAACTGGGATCACACGATATGTGGCCTTTTGTGCCTGGCTTCTGTCACTCAGCATGATGTTGTTGAGGTTCAGCTAATGCCTTTCTGGAGTGATGACATTTGTTCCATCTCATCTTGGCTTCCTTCCACTCAGGAACCTATCACTGCGTATTTCGATACAAGAATTTGTACAGGGTCGTGGCCAAAGATGTCACTGTGTACCCGCTGCCTCTAGAGTCCAACATCATGGTTGATCCTGTGGAAGCTGCAGTACCATGCCGAAGCTCCCATCACATCAGATGCTGCATTGAGGAAGATGCAGACTACAAGGTCATTTTTCAAGTGGGTTCCTCGTCCTTTCCTGCTGGTAAGATGCCCACTGCTGAATTGTTAGGGCATATGATTCCATATACATTGAGTCTACAAATTTACTCTTAAAATAAGGATAAAGAGACGTAAGGATTCCATCAGACAGAATATAACAGAGGAATTCCATGAGGCTTTACTGCCTTCTGTTTTGCCATGTGGCCAGTGGCTCATTGAAAAGTGAAAGTGGTAATGGATCAGTCGTGTCTGACTCTTTGAGACCCCGTGGACAGTAGCCCACCAGGCTCCTCTGTCCATATAATTCTCCAGGCAAGAATACAGGAGTGGGTACCCATTCCCTTCTCCAGGAGATCTTCCTGATGCAGGGATAGGACCTGGGTCTCCTGCATTTTAGGCAGATTCTTTACCATCTGAGCAAGTGGTTGTGACAAAATCTTGAGTCTGTGAGAGTGGAACCCATTGTTTTTAGTGATGGTTGTTGAAGACCATATTAAGTTACTGTCATGAGCCTTCTACATGTTCCATATAGTAGACTAGATATTCTGATCATCCTTCCCTCTATGCCAGGAGTTAGCATATAATCAAAGTACCACAAGAATCCTGTAAATGCACAAATGAGCAGCCAAAAGAGTAACAGAAACAGTCAAGAAGAATTAGAGGAAATGTTTTTGCTAATTCTGGGATGCCCGGAAGGCGTTTGCCAAAATCAGAAACCCAGAATCTTGAATTTGAAAGCTCTGAAGTATATGAGAGAGAAGGCCTTGATCCCAAGAGGGTAACTAAGGCACCCCACCCAACAGCACAACGTCAGGGTCCTCAGATGATGACGTGCTTGATAAAAGAAGAAGAATCTAGGAAAAAAACAAAATTCATCTGCCAGAGTTAAGAACTTGGCCTCATTGCTGATAAAGGGCAAAAATTTCCCCTGAGAATTATGACTCTCCTGCCCAGGTTTGGGAACTCCAAGCTGAGGAATAATTAACTTAAGAGGGTCCATTGGTAGCACTCAATGGTACCTGACCAAAAAAAAAAAAAAATTCAAGTCCTGTCTGGTAGAATGTACCTTCCACCCAGATTCCTCAGGATTCATTCAAATAAAGGTCAACCAAATATGACTTCACAACCCCAAATCTTAAGTCACTGACAACATCACCATCACCATCAGGGATTTAGGAGGTCATTCATACTTTCAAAAATGGTTCTTGGGGACCTCCTGCTTAATACAGAGTACCGTAGGAGGCAATGAAAAGTAGATCAAAGAAGTGGGGCATGTAGATTAATATCTAGAAGAGCATATGTCATAAAAAGCAATATGTAGAATATTAAATACCCAAAAATGAGCATTAACAGATCAAAAGGACAATGGAAGTTCAGAAAAGTGGGGAATCCCATAAAGACTAGACAATGTAGAGAAGGATGCATGGCAGGGGGATATGAAATCAATCTGGGTACTGAAATATTTTAGCATTTCAACATTCTGTGGCAAACACGCATGCCTTCAGTATTTTCTGTGTGCCAAAGACTGAGCTAGGCACTAGGAGATGCAAAGACAAATGTGACCAGGTACCTACTCGCTAAAACCTCAGGGTCTGGTAGGAGTTGTTGCTGTTGTTCAGCCGCCCAGTCATGTCCGATTCTTTGTGACCCCATATGCTGCAGCATGCCAGGCCTCCCTGTCCCTCACCATCTCCTAGAATCTGCCCAAGTTCATATTCATTGCATCAATGATGCTGTCCAGCCAACCATCTCGTCCTCTGACACCCTCTTCTCCTTTGGTGACCTCTGAACCAATGATAGGGTAAAGGCACAGAGCATGATGGTATTTCAGTAGATAGAAGGATGCTGAGAAAGCATTCTGATTGTCCGAAACTGGGTGGGCATAGACTTGGAGCCATGAATGGTGGAGGTAAGGTTTTGGCCAGTATGCATGCCAGTGTGGGTTTGGTTACTTCTAGGCTAGTGGCATTTTGAGAACCACATAAAAGATGGATGTGGCACATAATCTTGGAAAGAGTTTGAACAAATTTATCCACGTTGGATGATTTTAACAAAAATCCATGCTTTGAATACTTATGTTGTAACTTCATTCTTTGATTTTATTTTAGTAAAAGAAGTTAATGAAAAGCAAGTGTGCTACAAACACCATTTCATGGCAGACTCAGTTTCCTGTCCAGAAAATGTGGATGTGTTTTGTCACTTTACCAATGCCGCTAATAATTCAGTCCAGAGCCCATCTATGAAGCTTCACCTGGTTCCTGGTGAGAGCACTTTTAACATTTTAAAATAATGTTAAGGTCATGAGCAGAGATTCATTTATTGATTCACTTCCTCATTCATCCATCAATAAATGTGTGTCAATCACTTTCATGTGGCAAGCCTTGAGCTAAGCATGGAGGATTAAAAAGGAATAAGCTATGTTTCTTGGCCTCACATCTAAGAGAGAGATACATGTGATTTTAAAATGTCATCACATATAATGTGGTAAGTTCTGAACTAGAGATGGTTGTGGGTGGCTAGAAGAGGCTACCTGATTAACTCTGGTAGCAATTAGGTGGGAAAAAATTGATTAAGACATCTTGGCAGATAAAGCCATACACCCATTGATTCTGGGAGTTGAAGCCCTGTCCTCACCAGTTAAGAGTGGACAGTGTTTGTGTGGAGCTGAGGCCACTTTGAACTTTCAGCAAAATTATAGACTTTCAGCAAAGTTCAAATATCTAGTCTACTATATGCCCCCACAAGCACTGTTTCCCAGAGCTACATAAAAAGAATCGGAGGGACTTCTCTGGCAGTCCAATGGTTAAGACTTCACCTTCCAGTGCAGGGGGTGTGGCTTCCATCCCTGGCTGGGGAGCTAGGATCCCACATGTCTTGGGGTCAAAAACCCAAAATATAAGACAGAATCAATGCTGTAACAAATTGAAGACTTTTAAAAATGTCCCATGTCAAAGTATCTTAAAAATAATAAAAAATTCAAATATATATAAAAAGAATCAGAAACTGTCTTTCCCATCCTTTGTCATCGCTGAGCCAATACCACCTCATATACTATTTTTCAAGGTAAAAAGATACTCCTGGGCCTACATCATAAGCAATCCTCTTGCCCCAGAAATCGTCTCTATACAAGACCCCATGATGTCTGAAGGATCTATGGCTCTGTAACCAAGCCTGTTTGAGTTTATTGAGGGATTTTTGGTCCTTCTTACAGGTCTTGGTATCTGAGACCCAGACACCAAAGTAGGAAGCAATTAAGAGCTCCCTGTATCTCTGAGTCACCATCCCTTCATCCCCCACCCCCCCAAGCACACCTTTTCCAGAGGGCACCCAAGGTCACTTCTCCTCTGTCCTCCCATCTTAGCCCAGGTGCCATCATGTTTTATTCACTTACCATTGTTCTCCTCTTTGTTCTTCTTGCAAAGTCTGATTCCTCAGCCTTTTCCTAATAGAAAATTACTTAGGCATTTTAAGATTTTTCTACAGTGACTGAGAACTCAATAAATGCTAAAAGATAGTGGGGGAGGTGGTTCTGCTCATCAGAGAGTCCAAGTTCTCTGGAGATGGAGATTCTGCAAAAAATGCCATTTTCCAATGAAGTCTGGTCTTAGGTAGAGGGAAAGGGAAGTCATCTTAAGAGAAACCAGAAGGAATAAATGCTTATAAATATTGTCTAGAATATTCAGGTCATGGGTGCCTAGAATTCCTACTGCTAATTATAGCTTTATATTAAGGTGGTACCTCTTATCCTTGGCTGCACCCAGGAATCACAAGGATGCTTTAAAAATTGTTAAAGCTTGAATTTCAGCCTGAGAGGTTCTGATCTACTTGGTATTTCCAGACATTGGTATTTCCAAGGCTCCTCTGGTGATTCTTAGGCATCAGAGTTGAGAATCCCATGCATGAAGATCCCATGCATCCCTAACACCTATGGTCACCTGCATATCTTTTCTCTGGATGAGTACACCATTAAACTCTTGTTATTTTTATGGCTTAGATTTTACAGGCAGCAGAGAAAATTCCTAGAGATCAGAGGTGGGAATGAGGCCTAGAGGAAAAGCCAGTGCAAATTAGAATCAGATCTGTGTGGAAACTTGGAAAAGGCCACTGAAAGTAAAAAAAAAGATGAGTTCAAATATCAAAATGCCACCTAAGCCTGGTCCTGTTTCAGCTATCTTTTCTCCTTTTTTCAACTGTACCTTTTATGTCCACGTTTCCAATGCAGGGGAGAGCATCACTTGCCAGGATCCTATCCTAGGTGTTGGGGAGCCTGGGAAAGTCATCCAGAAGCTTTGCCGGTTCTCGAACATTACCAGAAGCCCTGAGAGTCCTGTTGGAGGGATCATAACTTACAGATGCGTGGGCTCCCGGTGGCAGATCAAGAGAAATGACTGCATCTCTGCCCCAATAAACGCTCTGCTCCAGCTGGCCAAGGTGATCCTTAAACCCTTGACTCTGAGCTCTTGCTGGGGAGCTGTGTTCAGCTGAACCTATTTCTCAGCACCTAGGAAAGTGGACTTTGAGCCGCTTTGTGTTGCTCTCAAAGCTACACTTATTTATTTCCGAAGAAGATGCAACCCTAGAAATGCTTGATATTTTGCTTGAAATAGAGAGGCAGCACAGTGTGTTCTGCCCGAGGACCAGCTGTGGACCTTCACTTTGGTTTCCATTAGCTCAATGATGAAAGTCATGTTGGTGAAGCCATCCCCTTTAACTGCTCTCCTTTGAAGAATTTTTACATCAAGCTAAAAGTTCTAATCTTTTCACAAAGAAGCCAAAATAAAAAGTAAGATTCATGGACTTCCCTGGTGGTTCAGTGGTTAAGAATCCTCCTTCCAATGCAGAGGACACGGGTTCGAACCCTGGTCGGGGGAACTAAGATCCCACACTGCAATGAAGATCCAGCTCACCTGAAAAAAATAAATTAATTTTTTAAAAAGTAAGGTTCATCAATAGGGAAAAAAATATTGGGCTTTATGCTTTTACAGGTCTGAGAGTTCCTTTATCCTTACAAGTCATCTATAGTCCTAGAAGGGGCTAGCTGACCTCTTTTACCTAGAGTAGAAGTGACTGCCATGTGGTAAGGAAATATGTTTCATTTCATCAAAGTAAATACTTTCACCTCTCACACCTACATCACTGAGAATTCAAGAGTCCTAAAATTCCATGAGTTACAATAAATGAGTTGCAATTTTTTGTGTGTGTGTCTTGTCTGATTGTGTTGGCTTTTTTGTTCCTAGGCTTTGGTTAAGAGCCCCACCCAGGATGAGAAGCTCCCGTCCTACCTAGGGAATCTTTCCATTAGCACAAAGCAGGTGAAACTTGAAGCTGGCTCATTTTCTGGGACCCTGGGAGCTATTATTAGCATCCTGGACCTGTTCTCAACAGTTCCAACCCAAGTGAATTCAGAAATGATGACGGTGAGTTTGCTCCTCTTACAGGAGTCTAGGGTCTCATCTCTTCATCCCTCAGCCCTTGCGGTCAAGAAACATAATCTCTCCACTGCAAATTCTTCTCTCTTTTCCTAAGCAGTGACTTGCCAGCCCTGGCTTTTAGCATGTGTGTGTATATCTTGGGATCTTAAGATGATGTCTTTAAAGAATCTTATTAGTTTCTTCATTAAAAGAGAATGAATTCTTATCTGCTTTCTAAGAAAACTAGGAATGAAAGGTTTACAGAATATGTACGAGGTGAGATTCTCAACAATTTCTCACTAAACATAACCGTTGAAGCAATCAGTGTTCTTTATTTTTTTTTATTGGAGTATAGTTGCTTTACAATGTTGTGTTCATTTCTGCTGTACAGAAGAGTGAATCAGCCATATGAATATATATATATATCACCTCTTTTTTGGATTTCCTTCCCACTTCAGTTGGGGCTTCCCTTGTGGCTCAGCTGGGAAAGAATTCACCTGCATTGCGGGAGACCTGGTTCAATCCCTGGGCTGGGAAGATCCCCTGGAGAAGGAAAAGACTGCCCACTCCCATATTCTGGCCTGGAGAAGTCCATGGGGTCACAAAGAGTCGGACAGGACTGAGCGACTTTCGCTTTCACTTTTCCCCCTTCTGTTACTGCAGAGTGCTGGTAGAGCTCCCTGGGCTGTGCGTAGGTTCTAATGAGCCATCTATTTTCTATGCAATAGTGTATGTATGTTAGTCTCAATCTCCCAATCCACCCCACTCCCCGTTGACCCCTTGGTAGCCATATGTTTGTTCTCTACATCTGTGTCTCTCTTTCTGCTTTGAAAATAAGATTATCTACACAATTTTTCTGGATTCCACATATATGCATCAATGTACAATATTTGTTTCTCTTTCTGACTTTCTTCACTCTGTGTGACAGTCTCTAGATCCATCCACATCTCTTCAAATGACACAACTCCATTCCTTTTCATGGCTGAGTAATATTCCATTGTATATATGCACCACATGTTCTTTATCCGTTCCTCTGTTGATGGACATTTAGGTTGCTTCCATGTCTTGGCTATTGTAAATAGTGCTGCAATTAACACTGAGGTGTATGTATCTTTTTGAATGATGGTTTTGTCTGGGTATATGTCCAGGAGTGGAAATGCTGGATCATATGATAGTTCTATTTTTAGTGTTTGAAGGAACCTTCATACTATTTTCCATTCTGGCTATATCAATCTACATTCCCACCAACAGTGTAAGAAGGTTCCTTTTTGTCCAACAATCAGTGTTCTAAGAGGAAAGAGAATTCACTCACCAGAGTTCAAATGAAGATACTTTAGCAAAGGGATACTTACCGAGGTAAAAGTAGGAATTTTTTTTTAAAGTGTGAGTCAACCAGAAACCAGAAGCATTTAGAAAGCTTTACTACCTTGAGGATTAACAGGAAAAGGAGAGGAAATAGTGCACCCATAACCCTGGAGGAGGGATCACTGAGCGTCGGAAGGACATAACTATACCAAAGATATGCTGAGAGTAGAAATGAGGATGCAGGAAAAATAGATCTCGGCTTCTTTCTTCCCTCATCATCTCACCTCCTGCTGGTGTTTCTCACTCGACAAACCCAGTCAGAGGCAACCGGCAGGCAGCTTGGGTTACAAGGGTCCAAGGAGCTTATACAGATCTCCGAGGACTGTTCCAACTAATTGCCATAAACTGGGTGGCTTACAGTGAGGAAACTTCCTCTCTCACACTCCTTGAGGCTAGAAGTCTGAAATCAAGGTGTCTGGGGACCACGTTTCCTCTGAAGGCTCGAGGGAAGAATCTTTGATCGGTGACCTCTTTAGCTTCTAGCAGGTTTCCCTGGTGGCTCAAATGGAAAAAAATCAGCCTGCCAATGCAGGAGACCCAGGTCCAATCCCTGGGTCAGGAAGATCCCTGGAGAAGGGAATGACTACCCACTCCAGTATTCTTGCCTGGAGAATCCCATGGACAGAGGAGCCTGGCGGGCTACAGTCCATGGGGCTGTACAGAGTCAGGCAAGACTGAAAGACTAACACATTCACTTTCCACCTTCTAGCAGATCCAGGCATTCTCTGACTTGTGCTGCCTCATTCCAACCTCTGACTTTGTCCTCATATGACTCGTTTTCTCCATTTATCTCCTCCTCATCTGTCTCTTTTAAGGATGCTTATCACTGGATTTAGGGCCTGACCAGGTAATCCAGGGTGATTTTTTCTCTCAAGATCCTTAATAACATCTACAAAGACCCTTTCTCCAAATCAGGTCACATTCACAGAGTTTGAGAATTAGGACAAGTCATTTTGGAGGCTCCAGGGCTCATCATTTCAGAGAACAGAACAAGGCAAAGAAAGGCAGAGAGCAGCCACTTCTCTCCATGGAGCTAAGCCACAGATGATAATTCCAAGTTTATGGGAGAGGGAATCAAACTGTTGAGCGAAGAAGAACGGTGCCTTTAACAACACTCTTATTTGGTGCTCAGCATTTAAGAGGGTCTTCCGAGACTCCCTCACCCTTGCTGGTGAAATACCACCCACCCAAAAGCCTTTACAGGCTTGAGATTTAAAATAAAATAAAACATAAAACAATTAATAAATATCTCTGCCAGCCTGCCGAGTTGACCTTAGTGAGTTGTAGGGGTGGTTCTCACTGTCAAGACTTCTAAACATTTCACAAAGTCTTGAAGTTGGGGGGGGATCCATCCTCTGCTTTCTCCCCATAAGAAGGTGGATCTTTGTCCCCCACAGCCTATGATGCTGCACCTGCCCCTTCTCTTTTCTTCTTCTCTGTACCCACTTAGAGCTTCCCCGGTGGCTCAGTGGTAAAGAATCCACCTGCCAATGCAGGAGACACCGAAGACTTGGATTCCATCCCTGGGTCGGAAAGACCCTCTGGAGGAGGAAAAGGCAAGCCACTCCAGTACTCTTGTCTGGGAAATCCCATGGACAGAGGAGCCTGGTGGCAAAAGAGTCTGACATGACTTAGCAAATGAGTATGCACGCATGCATATACACACTTAACCAGTTTCCAAGGAGATGTTCTTTTCCCTCTCTCTTTTATGATTGAAAACATTCAGTTGGTTTGATCCCATGCCTTGTCAATTACAGCACGTCCTCTCCACGGTCAACATCATCCTTGGCAAGTCTGCCTTGAATACCTGGAAGATGTCACAGGAACAAAAAACCAATTATAGCTCACAGCTATTGGATTCAGTGGAAAGATTTTCCCGAGTTTTACGGGCAGAAGACAGCACCATTTCCCAACCTAATGTGCAGATGAAGAGCATGGTCATAAAACCCGGCCACGCCCAATCCTATAGGCAGAGCTTTGTTTTCTTAGACTCTGACCTCTGGGGCAACGTGACTATCAATGGATGCCAGCTGGAACACCTGCAGCCAGATTCATTTGTCGTCACCGTGGCTTTCCCAACTCTCAAAACCATCCTTGACCAGGATGTTCCAGGAGAGAATTTTGCCAATAGCTTGGTGATGACCACCACCGTCAGCCGCAGCATAACCACGCCATTCAGGATTCTGATGACTTTCAAAAACAACCACCCCTTGGGCGGGATACCGCAGTGTGTCTTCTGGAACTTCGACCTCGCCAACCACACCGGGGGGTGGGACAGCAGTGGGTGCTATGTGAAAGCAGTCACCGAGGACAGCGTGTCCTGCAGCTGTGAGCACCTCACCTCCTTCTCCATCCTCATGTCCCCTGACTCCCCAGACCCCGATTCTCTCCTGAAAATCCTGCTGGATATCATTTCCTACATTGGGCTGTGCTTTTCCATTTTGAGCTTAGCAGCCTGCCTTGTCGTGGAGGCCGTGGTGTGGAAGTCGGTGACCAAGAACCGGACCTCCTCTATGCGCCACATCTGCATTGTCAACATCACCGCTTCCCTCCTGGTTGCTGACGTCTGGTTCATCGTGGCCGCCGCCATCCACGACCATCGCTTCCCACTCAATGAGACGGCCTGTGTGGCCGCCACCTTCTTCATCCACTTCTTCTACCTCAGTGTCTTCTTCTGGATGCTGACCCTGGGCCTCATGCTCTTCTACCGCCTGGTTTTCATCCTGCATGACACGAGCAAGTCCATTCAGAAGACAATCGCCTTTTCCCTGGGGTACGGCTGCCCGCTGCTCATCTCCGTCATCACGGTGGGGGCCACCCAGCCCCGGGAGGTCTACACCAGGAAGAATGCATGTTGGCTCAATTGGGAGGACACCAAGGCCCTGCTGGCCTTCGTCATCCCAGCCCTGGTCATCGTGGTGGTGAACATGACCATCACGGTCGTGGTTGTCACTAAGATCCTGAGGCCTTCCATCGGGGACAAGCCGAGCAAGCAGGAGAAGAGCAGCCTGTTCCAGATCACCAAGAGCATTGGGGTCCTCACACCGCTCTTGGGACTCACCTGGGGTTTTGGTCTGGCCACCGTGTTCCAGGGGAGCAATGCTGTGTTCCACATTGTGTTTACCCTCCTCAATGCCTTCCAGGTATGTTCTGCAGGGCAGCACTCTCAGCAAGGATCTGTAATGATAGAAACACAAATAAAGGTAGGAATGGGGAAGGGTTTGAGTTCAGGGGAGGCCCTGGCCCTAAAGAACAGTAATGACAAGAACTCAATGAAAGAGAAAAGGCACATTCCTCTGCTCCCATGGAACCTCATACCTCTTATCACCTGCTTTATAATTTAGTTGCATATGTGCCTCCGTGCTAAATGCCATGATGATGCAAATAGGAGGAAAGTCCCTCCCCTACACTGGATTCTGCTATTTATCCAATGTTATCTTGATGCTGTCTATTATATCCTAAATGCAAGTACCACCATTAAACCTAACAGCCTCTCCAGTTGATTTTCACAAGCATTAAATGAGCTCTGCCTTGGTGAGGTGGAAGCACCTGTCTTTCTTATCAGTATATCCCTAGTTCCAGCAAAGACCTTGGAACAGGCTAGGAGCTGGGTAACCATTTGACAAATGAAGTAAATGCTCGGTACCACATAGAAGGTTCTCAGGTAACATTTGCTGAAGGCTGGAAGAATTCTGCTCCATTCATTATATGAATGGGCTTCCTTGGTGGCTCAGATGGTAAAGAGTCTGCCTGCAGTGCAATCCCTGGGTCGGGAAGATCCCCCGAAAAGGAAATGGCAACCCACTCCAGTATTCTTGCCGGAACAATCCCATGGGCAGAGGAGCCTGGTAGGCTACAGTCCATGGGGTCACAAAGAGTTGGATACGACTGAGCAACTTCACTTTCATTATATGAAAATGAAAAAGACGTTCCCTTTGCTCTCCAGCAGTGCAAAACCAATTATAATACAAGTCACATTGTTAGGAGGGCTTTAGCAGAGGTACAGACAACAAGCCTTTGGAACACAAGGAGGGGATGCTTGATTGTGATTCAGCCAATAGATGAATGGTAACCCTAGTCTCCCATGCATTGGTGAGAAGGCACGGCGTCTTGGGGTGACGCTGAGACATCAACCTAGATGCTCATGCTAAGACCACGCAAATCCTGCTACTCCAAACTCTACGGTTCACGTCTAATGATGTCTTGACTAGGAGGGACTGATTTTTCTACCTCATACCCTATGTCCACATTACAACTGTGAGGGCTGCTATAGACATAAGAGGCATGTTTAATAACATAAGCAACAGGACCTCCAGCTTACAATTGGGTGGAAATAGAGAAATTGAAAATATCCTTATAACATTGTAACATTGAAGGTCCCTTGGTATGGACCTGCTACATCATTGTCATCTACTTGACCATAAATGCAGCTGTAGAAAGAAGTAGCTTACAAATCCTATGCTACGTGAACAATACTTCCTATTTCGCTAGACAAGAATATGATTAGTAAGTAATATGATTAAAATGCACTTCTTTCTGATTTTTTTTCAGGGATTATTCATTTTACTCTTTGGATGCCTCTGGGATCAGAAGGTAAGAACGATGATAGTCATGCTCCTAGAAAAGTCTAAAGAGCCATGACATGTTAGGCTGACAATGGCCTCTTTTTTTTTTAAACTTTTCATTTTATATTGGAATAGAGCTGATTAACAATGTTGTGATAGTTTCAGGGGAACAATGAAGGGACTCAGCCATACGTATGCATGTATCCATTCTTCCCCAAACTCCCCTCCCGTCCAGGCTGCTACATAACATTCAGCAGAGTTCCCTGCGCTATAGAGTAGGACCTTGCAGTTATCCATTTTAAACACAGCAGTGTATCCATGTTGATCCCAAACTTCCTAACTATCCCTTCCCCCCACTCTCCCCTCCTGACAACCATAAGTTCACTTTTTAAGTCTGTGAGTCTGTTTCTATTTTGTGAATAAGTTCATTTTATCATTTCTCTTTAGATTCCACATACAAGAGATATCACACAATATTTCTCCTTCTCTGACTTACTTCACTCAGTATGACAATCTAGTTCCATTCATGTTGCTGGAAATGGCATTATTTCATTATTTTTAACAGCTGAGTAATACTCCATTGTATATATGTACCACATCTTCTTTATGCATTCCTCTATCAATGGACATTTAGGTTGCTTCCACATCTTGGCTATTGTAAACAGTGCTGCAATGAGCATTGGGGCGCATGTACCCTTTTGGACCATATTGCTCTCTGGGTATATGCCCAGGAGTGGGATTGCAGGGTCACATGGTAGCTCTGTTCTTAGTTTAGTTTTTTAAGGGGCCTCCACACTGGTCCCCATGGTGGCTATTACCACTTTACATTCCCACCAACAGAATAGAAGGCTTCCCTTCTCTCCATACCTTTTCAGCATTTGACAATGGCCTCCCTTAAACTCTGCAGGTGCAGGAAGCCTTGCTCAATAAGTATTCACGGTCAAAATGGTCTTCACAGCACTCAAAGGTAAGTAGTTTCCTTGTAGAGACTTAGAAAAACCCCTCTCTCTCCACTACCAATTGTAGTGTAGTGTAATAATTATAGATTATTCCACCGTGCTTGCTTTGTACCTGATTCTGCCTTTTAATCAAAACCACGTCAATGAACTGGCATTAAGGTGCTGTCCCCACATCTTAAAATAGGGATTATAGGGGCCAATAGCACAGATAGTATCAACTGGAAGTTAAGACCAAATTTCCATGAGAAGCAATCTTCTGGGGAAACTCAAGGCCATTTATGAGCCTTGAGAACACAATTTGAAGAATAATGAAGAATTTTGTGTAGTTCTTCTTGGAAAATATTTGTTTTCACGTGTCAGAAGATAATAAACCTTATCAAACAGTAAAATATGTATTTGGAAGTCGATTGCCTAATACCTATGATGAGACTCCAGGGTTTCAAAAGGTGGCTTTCCTGCTTAAAGTGAAAGTGGTATTCACTCAGTCATGTCAAACTCTTTGCCACCCAAGGACTTAAGCCCACCAGGCCCCTCTGTCCATGGAATTCTTCAGGCAAGAACACTGGAGGGGGTTGCCATTCCTTTATCCAGGGGATCTTCTTGACCCAGGGATTGAAGCCAGGTCTCCTGCATTGCAGGCAGATTCTTAGTGGTCTGAGCCACCAGTAGGCTTTCCTGCTTAATTTGTCTGAAATAGAAATTCAGGTTCATCCAGGCCCTCTCCTTAGGTGAGATGAAAGATGCAGGCAGTGACCACAAAAGGGCAGCAAACAAATCATTCTACAGATTCAAACAGGACCTTGGACTAACATGTTTACTTTCAATTCTTTTCTTCTCTAGTCAACATCCATAGGTTCATCTACACCTGTATTTTCTATGAGCTCTCCGATATCAAGAAGATTTAACAATTTGTTTGGTAAAACAGGTACGTAGTGTCCTCTAGATCTTTCCTGGGTTGACCTAAACACATTTGCCCTGGGGGGAAATCTCACGCCTAGTGTCCAACTGTCCACCTCATAACATTGACCCACAATGGCCTTATTTGGGGCAGAGGTTAAATACTTGCTTATATTTTCCCAAACTACCAGGATGTTGGTACAGAGGGCAACTGCCTTCAGCCTGCAGAGAACTCTCCATCAAAACCATATTCACCATAAAAATGGGAACTGAACATTAATTGCTGTCCTGGTCAAACACAAACTTCTATTCATGTTATATAAGAATAGGTAGGTCATCGTTCTGGGTTATAGTGCAGCGAAGAATATATTTAGAGAATCCTACCATAGCATCCCATGCTGTGAGTTTCATTTCTTTCTTTCTTTTTTTTTTTTTCTTTTTTCTATTTTTGGAGTGTTCTTGTTTTACACACGGGCATTTTAAAAACCTTGCATATGTATGAGAGATCACTCGAGTTAGCTATTCTATTAGGGACATGTGCAATGAACATTTTCTCCTTTTAGACATAAGATGAAGGATGTGAATGACTTTGGGCAGTGGGTCTCAGCTGTTCTGGCAAGCTGAAACCCCTTTCCCTTGACCCCCAACCCCTCACCTCCTGCCAGGGAAAACAGGCACTAGAATTCCTTCTAGCTCCTCCAAACTGAACAGATCTCACAAATGAAGAAATGTATGAAATGTGTCAAAAGCCTTCCAGGCTGTGGCTCTCTGGTGAATTTTGGGAATGCCTATTAGTTATTAAAGCTAGGAGAACTTGGCATTTGGGGCTTCAGCTAGATGTATTACTCATGAAACTGGAGGACCTTCACTTTTAGTTGGATCTGTTGTGAAATCATCCGAGATCCAGGGTATGTTAGAAGTGTTCCCCTTGGCCAGCACAGTCGCTGGATCATGTTTGTGCATGCTAAGTAGCTTCGTTGTGTCCGACTCTTTGGGACGGCATGGACTGTAGCCCACCAGGCTCCTCAGTCCATGGGATTCTCCAGGCAAGAATACTGGAGTAGGTTGCCATTTCCTCCCCCAAGGGATCTTCCTGACCCAGGGATCAAACTGGCATCTCTTATGTCTCCTGCATTGGCAGGCAGGTTCTTTGCCATTCATGCCACCTGGGAAGCCCTGGATGGTGTTTAGCATTTGCATTAAAGTGAGAACAGTGAAAACTCTATGAAATGATTCCACAGAAGCTGAGTTACACACTATGTAAGGCCAGTGACATGTGTTCCCTGTTTCTGAACCAGTCAGATCAAGAGCTGGGGCCCAGATCCCAAGGTCCTAGGGCCTGAGAATCTGGGCCGCTGCCACTCAGCCTTTCAGGGTCATTCATGCTGGGCCAAGGTGGCCTACTTGAGGGCTCCATAATCACCGTAACTTTGGTTTATGTTGTCAGCAGCCCCAAGGGCTCCGCCAGGCAATGACGGAAACCTTGTTAGCCGTGGCAGTCCGCCCATCTGATGGTAGGGTGGGCACGGTGTCACTTCCCCTGCCCAACACACAGCCCCCACTGCTCTCCTGCTGTGTCCCCGCCCCACGCTGGCATCAGCCTATGCAGTTGCCCCAGGGCTGTTCTCTCTGCTACCCTCACCCTCAGCACTTCTGTTATCCCCTGACTCCTACTGCTTTCCTGGTCCTGCCTCTTCTTCCCCGGCAATTTCCTCTTTTCTTTACTTTCCTCCCTTTCCCCGACTCAGACCCCTCCTGAGAGCTTCCCCAGGTCACAGCAACACCAGGGGACCAGGGATGTTCCTTCGTATGGATGCCCCCAGGCTGTTGCATGAGGCAGCATGCGGAGGGCTGCCTGTGTCAAGATCTCCCTGTCTTCTGTAGCAATCTGGCTGCTGGTGTGATGTGAAGTAGTTAGTGCTTGTCTTATCTGCTGCCACGCATGCTTGAGAACAGCTTGGTTTGTTCTCCAGGACTTCTGGGTCTGGGGAGGGGGGTAGGCATGGGTTCATTTCCAGGCATGGCTTGCCTGGCTCTTGGAGGAGCGCGCCCCCTGGGCGATCAGCAGAGATTCACACCCCAGTGATCATGAAGACGTGACCTTCAGCTAAGTTGCTGTTCTGTTTTTCAGGAACATACAATGTTTCCACTCCTGAAACAACCAGCTCATCCCTGGAAAACACATCCAGTGCTTATTCATTGCTCAACTAATGACAGGAAAATCCAGCCCATGGGACCTCTTGGGAAACAGTGGATGTGCTCTGAAAAAGAGATCCTTTGCAAGCCATGGGTAACATGCTTTTTCCGCAGGCCTCTGGGAGCAGATGCTGAAGAGACTTTTTCATGAGGGAAGAGGCTTTCTTTTGTAAAGACAGACCAAAGGAAATTGTTGCATTTATGTTGCTGCCCCACCCCTGTCTCTTGTGTGATACCAAATGTGTATAGTATTTAAGTGAAACTCAAGCCAACTTCTCTGTCTATATTGTAAAATAGAATTTCAGGGACATTTTTCCTTTTCACACCCTGGGCCCAGAGATAAGCTTTGATTAAAATAATAAGTAAAAGGCCAGGACTTAGGAAACTCTTCAATGAATTCTAGGGAGGAAGGATGGAAGAGAGAAAGAAAGAAAGAAGAGAGGGATGGAGGAAACGATGAGGAAAAAAATATAGAGAAGACTAATATAAGGACCACATGTTAAGATTCCTATGTTAATGACCCAATACTTTCACCACTCAGATAATGCAACACTGAAAATTTAAAAATGACTCCAAAATAAAAACTGAAAATTAGCCATGGATAAAGCTCAATATTTCCCTGATGTTTTCTTAGCTAAGAGAGACCAAAAAAGAAAAAGAAAAAAGGCAATGAAAAAATAGGGTGGAAATTATATTATCAAAATGCTTTTAAGTGAATGATGATATTTCCAAGAATTTCACAGAAGACATGACTCTCCTGATGCTAAACACATACATATGTGTTACTGTGTGTTAAGGTTGGAGTTAAGAGGAATGAATGGACAGAGGAAGTATGATTAGATGATTAGATCCCAGCTGACCAATTGCTCATTGCATTTTTATTATTAATAGTTTAGCAGAACAGTCTTAGGTTTTGGTTTGTTCCACTTTTTGTAAGCAAAAATATATATATTTGTTTATCCATTCATTTCCAAATGTGATATATTGCACTGAAAACAGACCCTCCCAACTGTCATGAATTATATTTAACAGCTTTAACCAGGTACTTTTCTGTGCATGCTAGAAAAGATTTTAATGATCTTACAGCATTGTATATTATTATTTTTGTAGTTACTGTGGATTTAGAGGCCCTGGATGTGCTGTATAGCTCTCTCTGTGTTAATTCTTTCAGTTCCTAAGTTCCCAGACCAATATACATTCAGAGTTTTCTACTGTCTAATTGGTATTTATTTTAACTACTTAGAAATCTTCTGGAAAAAGCTCTCCATCTGGCTAGTCTATGCTCCTAATGACACTTCACCTTGATGAACAGATGGTGGAGATTGTTTGTGAACTATGTGCGTGTGTGTTTCACCTGTGTGTGTGCATTTCATGAAAATATAATATAAATATTTATTAAAATCATATCCATAGCAAAGTTGACCATGTACTATAGCTACAGCAACCAAACATTCCAAATCAAAGTCTGATCCTAGGGCCATCATGAAATAGAATAAAAGATGTGGGACTTCTCTGAAAATATAAGCAATGTGGTCTTCATAAGGACAGATTTAACAGGTCCAACCATCAGGAAGAACGGACCAAACAGGCTGAGATTCAAGTACCATTTATTCATTGAGGTTTGAAAGAGTTTTCTTGTAATAATTTTACTGTTTAAAATAACTTCCTTTTATTTTTAATTTTAAATTCTACCTCTGTCTCTCTTTTCTTTATGAGAAGGGGGAGATAGGACAAACAGAAGTCCCAATCACATTTCAAGGAAATGAACTTTTTTCCCCCCTTTTTCTACATACTCACAAGTGACATACATATCTACGCCCACATTTGCCAGCAAATTGCCACATCAGTATCCCAACTGAAGAGTTCATTATTTAAAGTCCCTGAAGGAAATGATTATAAAGCTCAGAATTCTCCAGGGAATGATCAACTTTGGGCAGAAGTTGGTACTGAGAAGACAGAGTCAGAGGTTAGGCTGGATGATCAGCTGAATTCGATTTAGACATCAGGAAAAGAATGGCTTTACTGATTTGGTTTCTGGGGTTCTATCCATGAGAAGTGAGACAGGGTTAGACAGTATTGATGTGATTAGCCAGGGAAAGCATTGCATTCAGAAGGCTGTGGTTCTCCTGTTCGAAATCACAAAACTATCAGAAACACTGACCTTCCACCCATTTCTTAGGGATCCTCTGGGAACTGTTGTCCAGAACTTTGTGAAGGGGACCTCTGTAATGACAGGAAACTCCAGTGGGGCTCCCCAGGATGGGGATCTGGTTCTCTGCCCACATTCATTAACAGAGGCCTGTTCCCTCATCCCCAAGGCGCGCGCGCACACACACACACACACACGTGCACACACATGCACAAACACACACGCTCAAAGTGTGCATGTACCTCCCCCCTTTCAAGTCACAGTGCTGGATCCACATTTCCAGAAAAGCTGTACACACTGGAGAAGTACAGTACATGCTGCTTTTCTGCTCAACTGCAAGAGACATAGTTTAGTCACTGCTCTTTGCCAAGAATACCCTGAAACAAGCAACAGAATTCAGCATTGTAAAAAAGAGTGGTCTGTGAATCTGTTAATTACAGCAGGAGCCATGCTTGGTCCTGGGGTCACCGGTTTTCAGTCAGCAATGATTTCAAGGCTCTGGGCAGCAGATTTCCAAGGGAAGGAAGAACAGGAACTCTGGTGTTGGCACAAAGGGAGATGTGGCGCCTACTTCATCAGGAAAGTGTCCACTACTTTCCCACGTCCCTGAAATCTCTCAGTGTATAAAACCGGTTCCATCGGGCCAAACCTTCCTGCATTAAGGGACCCTCTGATAAGTCCATTTCCTGCAGTGGAGTCTGTACTGATGCTCCAGAGGGTGTGAGGTTAGAGCATCCACCAGTGAGCAGTGGATACAAACTGCAGAGGTAGTCTCAGCCCAGAATAATGTTCTGAGTCCAGTACAACACAACCTCTCCTGGATGAGTCATACGTCTGCCACGCTCGCCTCCGAGTCATACTGTTTACTTGGAGAAAGAGGTAAATACAAGTCCATAGGGGATTTCAGGATCTAGGTTGCTAAGACCAGAAATTAAGAAACACCGTGGGAAGACATAGTCCTTTGTGGTTTGTGTAGGGAACTTCAGAGAGGTTAGAAGACTTTAAAAAAAGTTTTGTGGGGATGAGAAAGATTACAGCAACCAGCAAGCACAGAGGTGGCAGAAGATGTTATTCTGAGTCACAAGTTACAACCATTTTAGAAGACAAAGGAAGCAAGTGAGGTCATAGAAGTGCCCTGTAGGCAGAACACATTTTATTTGTGGCGGGGGAGGGTGCTGTCAAATGGGGTTCTACATCCGCTAGAGAAAGTCAGTGACCCAGGCCAGCAGCAGTCTGACTCCCCAGGTGTCCAAAATAAAGGAGGGGCTTTGTATTTTTTGAACATCCTTGAAAACAAAGTCTAATCATTTCAGAGGTATTGGCTTTGAAGTGAGATGCTATAGGTTTCTAAAATTATGACTTGGGATTTTCAATCGTGTCTTAATAGCATTCCAGCATGCAGCTCTGTTCATGGGGTTCTCAACCCAGTGGACATGAATCTGAGCAAACTTTGGGAGATAGTGAAGGACAGGGAAACCTGGTATTCTGCTGTCCATGAGGTCGCAAAGAGTTGGACATGACTTAGTGACTCAACAACATATAGCTCTATGTCTTTTCCCTGCTTATAATAATAAAATATCTAAAAAGATGGTGTGAAGCTTTTGTTAATATAAATTGTCTCCACTTTTACAATAGGCTATTCCCGCTGTTTCAGACTTCTCCACGTCCACCAGAATTTAACTCCTTCTCCAGCGAATGGTCACTTCTCTTCTCCAGGCATGGGGACATGGATGGGGGCTGTCAAGCTCACAAGCTGAGGGCTGACATCTTTCCTCACACAATTCACACTCCCACTCAGCATATGGAGCCCAGAAACTTAAGAGGCTTTAAGCAGGAGACCTGGAGGTAAAGTTTTGAGTACCCGACTGTCAGGGAATCAAATCTTTAAAAATGTCTGTTCTGACATTTGGATGTGGCTTGGTTGGCATTTTCACGGACAGCTGAAAACAGAGCCCTGTCGGTTCTATTAGCAACAGATATTTCTGCAACAGGCCCAGTATTTCCCATATTAGTTTTATATGGCTGTGTGACATATTACCACAAAGTTAGAGGCTGAAAACCATACCCGTTAGTTATCACACAGTTTCTGGGCATGGTTAACTTCACCTTCTGCTCAGACTTTTACCAGGCTGAACTCAAGTTGTTGGCTAGGGCTGCAGTCTCATCTGAAAGCTAGGGTCTTCCTCCGAGCTCAGCGGTTGCTTGGCAGAATTCTACTCTTTAGTTACAGGACTGAGATCATCCTTAGCTCCTGGAGGTGTCTTACCATCCCCTGCACCGTGGTCTTCTCCCAGCAGGGTACTTGGCTTCTTCAAAGTCAGCAGAGGAACTTCTGTGGCCCCTTTGAATCTCTGGTACTTCTTCAGTCTCTGATCTCCAGACATATTTTTAAAGGACTCACCTGATTAGGTCAGGCCCACCTAGGATAATCTTCCTTGAGATTAACTCAAAGCCAGATGATTGGAGACCTTCTTTATGCCTGCAAGATACCTTCATCTTTGCCCTATAATGTAATCTCATCAGAGACACAGGTCCTGCTCACTGTCCAGGGGAGATAACACACGTTTTATTTTCAGAAGAAGTTAAGGACCCCACACTGCTCTGTAGAATCTATATGAGGTCTGAGATGGAGACATGGTGACCTGCAAACTTTCCTTTATCCCTAGGAGTAGTCACGCTGAGAAGGGTCTCTCTGGACAGTATCAGTAATATGGCTTGCGTGCTGCAAATATGTCCATGCTATTCTGTCTGCTGAATATGCAAATACAACCAAAGTCACCTTTCCCAAAGGCATGGCTTCCAGGTGTGTGGACAATTCAGGGAAAGGGTGTCATGTGGGAAAGCTTGATTTGTCCAGATGGAAACAGGCTCACAGCTCTGCAGCTGACAACCTTCCCCACACTGCGCGTGTCCAGTGTGGCAGGTAGAGTGAGCCCAGGCACTAATATACCATTGACGTTTAGGCCAACAGGGCAGAGATCTGAACACACAGGTGCTGGCCTCTCCTCTAAGCTTTTGTTCATCTGACCTGTCTCTCTTTAAAAACCAAATCAGAATGCTCCCCCCATGCTGGGCACGTCTCCTTTAATCCCCCCACCACCAGTGAAGTACTGCCACCTGCAGGTCATGTTTGGGACTGCAAACGTTTTCATACCTTAAGAGGCTCATGGAGGGACTGAGTTCCCAACGCAGGGGTCCCAGGTTTGATCTCTGGTCAGGGAACTAGACCCCACGTGCTGCAACTGAGAGTTTAGTTAGTTGCATGCTGCAACTAAGACCCGGCACAGTCAAGGAAATAAATAAATGTTCTGAAAAAAGATTCATTGATCTCTCATGGGGTAAGCTGCCATCACATGCCTACATGGGTCACAGGACTTTGGAATTTTCTGGTCATTTGCCCTGATGTCTTTTTTTACTGTGTGTGTGTGTGTGTGTGTGTGTGTGTGTGTGTGTGTGAGTGTGTGTGAATACTTTTACTTCTTTTTTTTTTTCTTTGGTTGCACTCACTACATGGCAGGTAGGATCTTAGTTCCCCAACAAGGGATGGAACCTGTTCCCCCTGCAGTGGATGCTTGGAGCCATAATCACTGGACCATAGCGAAGTCCCTGTCCTGATGTTTTTCTTTGTAAAATAATATACACACCATTCAGAAAGGAAGACATTTAGTTTTGTATTTTGAAGACTTCCTCCCCCACCCTGATTTTATGAAGTCTATACTTTATTCATATAAGTAGGAAGAAAAGCATGCTTCCTACAAATCCATTATGTGAAAAGGAATGCATTTTGAACTACTGAGGAACGTGGGGAGGGCAGAATGGTCTGGTTGAACTGTAAGGTGAGTCATGGGTATTTTTTTTTTAATTGGCTGAACCTCACAGCATGTGGGATTTTAGTTCCCCAACCAAGCATCAAACCTGAACCCCCTGCCTTGGAAGCATAGAGTTTTAACCACTGGGCCACCAGGGAAGTTCCACATGTATTTTAAATATTTTAGGAGCCACTTTAAAGAAATCAGGAGGAAAAGTTAATTGCAGTAATACTTTTGATTTAACCCAATAGATCCAAAATTTTGGCATTTTAGGGTATAATTTATGTAAACTTCTTAATTAGCTATTTTATATTCCTTTTTGTTTTAACACCAAGTGTTCACCCAAGTGTTCTTTACACCACAGGTGCCCAGCAGATTTCCAGCGCTAAGGACCCACATGTATTTAGAAGCAGATGCACCAGGGAACACGGCTTAGAGCATAAATGAGGGACAAATGCTTCTGCTATTCTGTTTCCTCTCTCTGTAGGAATACAGGATAGGAAAATGAATTTAAAACAGGCTTTGCCACATCATTTGGGCCAGTCTTTGCAGAGACGCTACACATATGGGAGGTAGAAGGACCAGAAATCCATGAGGCTCCAAATATTGGGGGTGGCCATGAAGCTCATTGGTGTTCATGTTCATTCATGTTCATTCGTAACAGCTTGTGGAGAAACCCGGATGACATTTTGGGCCACCCCCCATACTTCAGTTCAGCTCAGTTCAGTTCAGTCGCTCAGTCATGTCCGACTCTTTGCGACGCCATGAACCACAGCACGACAGGCCTCCCTGTCCATAACCAACTCCTGGAGTTTACTCAAACTCATGTCCACGGAGTTGGTGATGCCATCCAACCATCTCATCCTCTGTCATCCCCTTCTCCCCCTGCCCTCAATCTTTCCCAGCATCAGGGTCTTTTCAAATGAGTCAGCTCTTCACATCAGGTGCCCAAAGTATTGGAGTTTCAGCTTCAATACCAGTCCCTCCAGTGAACACCCAGGACTGATCTTTAGGATGGACTGGTTGGATCTTCTTGCAGTCCAAGGGACTCTCAAGATTGTCTTCTCCAACACCACAGTTCAAAAAGCATCAATTCTTCTGTGCTCAGTTTTCTTTATAGTCCAACTCGCACATCCATACATGACCACTGAAAAAACCATAGCCTTGACTAGACAGACCTTTGTTAGCAAAGTAATGTCTCTGCTTTTTAATATGTTGTGTAGGTTGGTCATAACTTTCCTTCCAAAGAGCAAGCGTCTTTTAATTTCATGGCTGCAATCATCATCTGCAGTGATTTTGGAGCCCAGAAAAATAAACACTGTTTCCACTGTTTCCCCATCTATTTGCCATGAAGTGATGGGACCAGATGCCATGATCTTAGTTTTCTGAATGTTGAGCTTTAAGCCAACTTTTTTACTCTCCTCTTTCACTTTCATCAAAAGTCTTTTTAGCTCTTCTTCACTTTCTGCCATAAGGGTGGTGTCATCTGCCTAGCTGAGGTTATTGATATTTCTCCCAGCAATGTTGATTCCAGCTTGTGCTTCCCCCAGCCCAGCATTTCTCATGATGTACTCTGCATATAAGTTAAATAAGTAGGGTGACAACATACAGCCTTGATGTACTCCTTTTCCTATTTGGAACCTGTTGTTCCATGTCCAGTTCTAACTGTTGCTTCCTGACCTGTATACAGGTTTCTCAAGAGGCAGGTCAGGTGGTCTGGTATTCCCATCTCTTCCCAATACTTCCCTTCCATACAACTCCTGCCCCTCCAGACTGGCTTGAAAGCCACACTCTTATACCC